TTTAAGGAGGTGATGAAACGAACCTCATTGACCTTACTACTTTCATCACCAGCTCTCTTCACAACTTGAGCTAGGAAAGCTTCATGCCGAGATTCACTGCGCTGGTGACGAGCATACATTCCTTCCCGTAATTTCATAGTGCGTACAGCCTGCCATTCATTTACACGAATTAATTTCTCTGAAGTACGCTGTAGTTTCTGAACCCTTTCATTCTCTAGATCACTTCTGATTTTCATTGCCCGAGCATGCTTTTCTTCTGCCTCTCTTTTGACATCTAAAGAAGTTTTCTTCTTCTTGTCAGGGGACATTAGCTTATCGTGCAGCACACGTACACGCTCAGCACTTTTCCTGGCCATGCCTGGTAAATGTGAAACGCGGGAACTAATACGAACAGATGATGAAAGTATATCTTCCCAATTCCTCTTTTCTTTCCATGCATCCATGGATTTCCGAGCAGCCATATTCCTCTTCTCCTTTTCCTTGTCTTTTTCAGGAACAGTTGCTTGTCTTTTCGAATTATCTGCAGCTTTCTGATTTTTCTCACACGTACCTTCTGCTAGTGCTCGTTCTCTTTTAGGAAGTAGCTTTTCTACATCAGATTCTTCTTGTTCTCGCTTAAATTTTACAGCAAGAGGTGGCTTGGACGTATTTATAGAAGAAGACAAGGAACTATGTGGGCGTGAACGTCCATTTTGCACAACATTAACCTTCTCAGTACCGATTGACTCAATATTCTTTTCTTTTCCACTAAGATTCCCTGGAGTGTGATCTGCACCTTTACTTTCTGTTGTCTTTAATGCTGAATCTGCAGCATGAGACAGTATATTATTTACTGCAGATGTTTTCTTCATCTGATCCATAAACTGTGGACACTCAGTCCCAGAAACATTTTTGCTTGCTTCAAGCATGTTGGCTCTCTCTTGCCGAATTTTCTTAAATGCCTCAAGCGATGATGATAAAATCTCTGCTTTATGAGGAGAATTTGTCATTCTCCTGACCTGCATTTTTTATTGCATAATTGGGTTTCAAGTTCTTAACAAAAAAAGTAACAATACAAGCAAACAATTCACAACAGGAAACTAATAACAAGAAGTATAGGAGTTAATATATGATATACTCATGTTGCACAAGTGCTAAAAAAAATATATGTAATTATATTTGCAAAAAAAGAAGATATAGCCACATCAGAGAATATGAGAATCGCTTGCCAAAAGAACAGTCAAACTCGAGCTCACCTCCCAAGAGAGAGCATGTGGCCTACAATGGTCACTCCTCATAGTGATTGGCATTCCATCAACAGACTGAGAAGACAACCTCTTCACCTCTTCAAACTCCTCCACCCTAGCATTTAGTTCTTTAAAATCAGATGTGGCCTCTTCAAGAACAAGAATAGCTTCTTTCATCTGTTCCAAGTCACATTCCAGTTCACAAAGGAGATAAAGTTCATCTACAGCTCGATTAAGATTCTCAAAAAGGAAACACCAGAGCCGCTGCCTAAACCTTTCTTTACTCTCACCTGTCTCACCTTCACTGGGCACACTCACAACTTGCACATTATGAGTTCCACTCCCTTGTTCAATTTGATCATCTTCAACCTGATCAGAGGAACCCCCTGAATTTTCAGGTTCTTTAGTTTCAGTTGAGAGTAATTCAGCCTCCTGAACAATCAATGGCGAATTAGACAACTCACTCTTACCAGCTGCTTCATGGAGCTCTGAATTTTCTACCTCAGGCTCAGGTAACTCAACAGCCTTCTGGACTTTTGGCTCAGTTCCAGCTTCCTCACTAGAGGGAGAGTTAAAACTTGAACTGTAATCTTTTATAAGTTTGTTGTGTTCGGTGCCTATATCCTTGCAATTTAAGTCGTCGGTACTTGGACAGACTGCTGCTTCACTATTACTCAATAATTCCAGATCTTCTCTAAATTCTCTATTGAAATCTTGATGGCTAACTTGGCATAATTTGACCTCATCAGTTGATAAAAGAGCCTGATGAGAGGCCTCCTCTTCTCTGACTGATAATGCCCCCAATTTGATCACTTGTGTATCAAGGGAAGAGATGTGTGAAGCCAAGTCATGCTTACCCTCATTCTTTTCAGAGACGCCTAGATCAACCTCTCCAATATTACCAAACTTTATTTCAACTCCATTAGCACTGTTATTCAATATCAAACTACCATCCTCAAGATCACCCCATTTGATTTTCTGAGCAACTCCAGGGATATCTTTGTGAGAGACATTCCCATAGTCTCCACTTCCACCATGAGAATCTACAACATGCAAAACGGATGACTTGGGGACTTCAATGTCTTGTCTGACCGTATCAGACAAGTGTGGACCGCCATCGTCCCCAGTTGATGTAGAAATATATTTCTCAGTATTAATTTGGGTATGAACAGCATAACTTCCTCCTGATGTTGGAGGATGAGACTTTGACCTATCATTTCGGGCATTTTTATTCACCAGATGTGGACTGCCCGAAGAATTAGATGAATTTTTCCCTGAAAATCCTCCAACCCAGCTCTGTAGGGAAAACTTAGAACTACTCTTATGTTTCTGGGCAACAAAATAGCATATTTATACAAAGGTTAGCTTCGCCACCACAAAAAATACGATATAATTAGAGCATAACCAGGAAGGTAACAAGCATGAACCCAGCACCCAAGGTGGAGGAGGCTAACAAAGCCAACGAAATGGATAATATTGATGTTCAATGAGAAGGAGCAAAAAGTTGGATGTTAAATTATATAGTGCATGCAACTCAAAAGTGAATAAAAAACTACTTTGCATGACATTAGCAGCACCTCGAGAAGGAAAGAACAGCCCAACAGATATCCAAGTCTACTTGGACTCCTATACCGGTAAAATTTCTAGAGTACCTACATTACAAACAAATAACTCTGATGCTCAAGTTTTCATCTAATAACAAAACATAATCTTCAGATGCAATTAAATAATCCATTTCAAAGAAACCAAGTTTGATGCCCCCAAATTCTTTGACTAATTAGTGAAACAAACCACAACTCTGTAGAAAAGAAACTCTTATATATCTCCGCGTGAGAAAAATGAGAAATCGGTGGGCTTCGGGGACCTTCTCGCATGTTATCTATAGTTCATCCATAAATTCCCAGCGAAATAAAAGATAAACAATAAGAAACATTCATCTTCCCTAAACCCACTCTCTAATCATCATAAAAGGAGGAAGAAGAAGAAGAAGAACTTAGCCGATAATGGAGTTGTCACCTTTTTCACTTCGAACCATCCTGATCCCTGATCGTCACCTCCACCGCCGTTCTCCATCTCCAATTGATCAGAACTCAGATTTCATTTTTCAAAAATGCAAAACTAAAAGAAAAAATAAATCAAATTCTTGCTGTAACACCCAATTCCTCCAAGTCGTAGAACCAAAGCTAACCCTCCTAATTCCACGGCATCACAAATCATTACAAAATTGAAATTGGTTGAATCGATCACATCCATGAACGACCGCGTGGAAAGACAAACAAAACTGCACCTCAATATAGTAAAAATTGGGCCGGATTATTCAGGTGCATACAGAAATCTGAATATTCAGAATTCCAGTTAGCCTGAGGAACAATGCAATGAATAAAAAACTACAATACTCGCAATTGAAAAACTCCAATGGCAGTGGCAGGTTGCTAAGGTTTTTCTAGGGCTTTATTTTATGCAATATAAAGCGTGAAGTACACAAATAAGGGAGGAGGCACGAGTAGGAGGAAATTTAATATTATATCAGAGAGAAAACGAAGAAAAATTGAAGAAATGGAGAATGATCAAACAACTTTTCATTTTTTCAACAGAGCGGTCCCTTTTTCAGACATGGAACTGTGTAATTCAATCAAAAATCCTACAAAATGCTAAAGAGGACAACGAATTTTCACCATCAGAAACGGATCGGTGTTTGAATATGGCTGTAAGAGACGAGACAATCATGTTCTTGTTCGTTCATACTCGTAATATATTGTAGCAGTGCTTCGTCGTGCTCGAACCAGTTCATCGCCATTAAGCTACGCAATACAACAATAAATATCTCATTTTTATGTTTTTTTTTTTTTTAAATTTGTTTTTTTCTTTCCAATAAAATCTTCATTTTTAGAGAAAATAAGCGAAGGTTGACTTGGGGATGTTGAAGAAAGTGAAAGATTAATTTTGATTAATATTTAATATATATATTTAATTTTATTGGTTTGACGTCGGTCAATTAAGTTCAACCCATGGAACTCAATCCAATTTATTTAATATAATTATAAATTTTATAATTTTGTTATTAACTTTGAAAATTAGATAATTTTGGGATTAAAATTTCCGAATAATAAAATAGGGGAGCGGAATAGATTTTTCTCCGTAGAGTTAAAATGCAACAAAAATCTCATATTGATTAAGAAACGCAAAAACTATTGATACACACAAGACCTTACGAGCAGTATCAAAGTCATAATCTAAACCTAATTGTAATGATACGAGAGTTATATGGAGATTTAAGAGTATGATAACGATTGATTCTCTGACACTAAAAAAAATATCTTACAATTAAAAGTTCTCTAAATTTTAAATACCAACAAGCTAATTATTAATTATTATTACACCTTTAAATGATTATAATGATAAGTATGAAATTCCATCAAACCCCTCAATAAATTATATTTTAATTCGACCCTTTTAGTTAATAATTTTTTTTTTCTTTCCCCATAAAGTTATGAACTTAATTGATTAAAAAACTTGTCAGCAAATTGTAATTAATTAGTAAAAACATTCTATTGGCGTGAAAAATCTTTACTTCCTCGATCAAAATCAAAACTTTTGAACAATTAAATATACAAAAATGTGCAGTAATTATCTTATTGGATGAACAGAGCATATTTCACAGCATATTTTTGAAAAAGTGGAAGAAAGTATATGGGTTAAAGTATCCATCTTAATTAACCCTTAAAGCAACCCATAAACTTTTCAATTACTGAGCTGATTTCTGCTCCTAATCCATCGTTTAAATCTTAAACAGCCCTTCTTTTATCTCCAGCCGTCGTTTCATTTCAACCCATCGGATTTTTTTAACTGGGTGCCGACTATTTGGTTGATTAGAACTGTTTCCATCACCCAACCCACGATTAAATTGCGCATCAGTCGGTGTTTGGAAGGAAGATTTTAAGTGAAAAGGACAAATATGTGAAAGATCCAGTTCGCCCGCCAGAGCTATCACTGTACTTGTTCACTGTAATTCGTTGATATTCAAAGACTCGCAGGAGGTGCTGGAAACAGCAAGGGGTTTCGCTGAAACGTGCTAGCATCGCAGATGCTTCGAAAGCTCAGCTGAGTTGCATATTTTCAAGGTAAACTTTATGCAAATCGATGCTTGTTCTTCATTGGGTTGATCTGATTTGCTTGAGTAGTATCTGGGTTGCATCGAATTTGATTATCTCAGTGCTATAATGATTCGGTTATTAGGTGTACTTTGAGTTTGGATGCTTCTATTTCCTGTTCTTCATATTTTTCCCAAGAAACAAGCAACAAATCTACATAGAACCCAAGAATTCTATTACAAACACAAATTACTGTTAGTTCTATCTTCTTTTTCTCTCTACAATCTTCTTTAAAACCTGTTCTTCTTAGGCTACTGTTAGTTCTTAACAATGTTTAAAATGTCAGCTGGAGACACGAAACAACAGATCTTGCCCTTCCTTTCACATATGTTATGAGAAACATATCCATCAAGAAAATCATGTCAGTGTTCTTATGATGTAGGGCGTGTAAACTGTGTGAATTCGTGCAAATTGGTGTCTGAGGCTGCTTATTTCACTTGCCAATGGGCTTCAGCATCTCCTTGTTGCTTCTTTTAGTTTCTCTACCTGCTATCTTGGCTCAGAGACCGACACATGCTAGTATCATAGTTGATGGAGCTTCAGTAGTTGCTGAAACTGATGACAACTACATTTGTGCCACCATTGATTGGTGGCCTCATGATAAGTGTAATTACAATCGTTGTCCATGGGGGTATTCTTCTGCAGTAAATTTGGTGAGAATTAGATGATCCATATCCTCAATGTTTAGTCGCTTGTTCTTTGTGATTGATTCAAGCTCAATTTGTTTCCTTTTTCAGAACTTGTCTCATCCTCTTCTAACCAAGGCAATACAAGGTATTTTTAGAATGATCTTGTATATAGAATCTTCTTTAAATTGCAATACTTACATTGTTGTTGCGTGGTTGACACTTGGAAGCTTTTGAGCATTTGAGGATAAGAGTTGGTGGTTCGCTACAAGACCAAGTGGTGTACGACGTAGGAAGTTTGAAGGCGCCTTGTCATCCATTTCAAAAGATAAAATGGGGGCTGTTTGGTTATTCCAAGGGGTGTTTGCACATGAGTAGATGGGATGATCTAAACCAATTATTCAAGACCACAGGGTAAAACATTTATGTCTTTACTTTCTTTGCAACTCAACTCCCCATCAAACTTTTAAGTTTGGGTTGAGTGATGATTGAACATGGTATCAGAGTAGGAGGTTATGTGTTTGAACCTCTCTAATGTCATTTCATTTCCAATTAATATCGATATCCACTTTGTGGATCTTCTACAAATTTTCGAGGCCACAAGTGAAAGGAGTGCTAAAAGTATTGTTGTAATAGCTCAAGCTCACCGATAGTAGATATTGTCTTATCTGGGCTTTCCCTTTCGGGCTTTGCTTCAAGGTTTTTAAAACGTGTTAGTTAGGGAAAGGTTTCCACATATTTATAAAGAACGTTTCGCTCTCTTCCCCAACGGATATGGGATCTCACAATTCACTCCCTTTGGTGCCCAACGTTCTCACTGGCACTCGTTCCCTTCTCTAATCCACCCCCTTCAGGGCTCAGCGTTCTTGCTGGCACACCGCCTCGTGTCCACCTCCTTTGGGGCTCAACCTCCTCGTTAGCACATCACCCGGTGTCTGGCTCTAATACCATTTCTCCATTTGTGCGTGTCATCCTTGTGCAGGGGTCATGCTAATCTTCTATGTATCGTTCCAATGTCCCAGTAACATTAAATTTGCATTACCCGCTTTTGGGTTCATTGGGTGATTCAACAAATTCTATAGATCTCTAATTCCTGTATGTTCTGAATCTTTGTCAAGGATTATGCATGTTAAAAGGGAAATATTAGATTGGAGCATCCCTACACAAGTCTTATCATGGATAAAATCTTACATTTTCAGGGCCATAGTGACCTTTGGCTTGAATGCACTCCGTGGAAGGCACCGGATTCAAAGAGATAAATGGGGAGGAGAGTGGGACTCTACCAATGCTTGGGATTTTATAAATTACACCATATCAAAGGGATATGCAATAGATTCATGGGAATTTGGTAAAAGACTCTAAAAGTTACCAGTTGTTATGATCATTTGGTCTGTGGCCTTCTGCTCAACTTCATATCCTTAAAACTGCAGGTAATGAATTGAGTGGACATGGCGTCGGTGCGAGTGTCGACGTCGAACTGTATGCAAAAGATGTGATCAAGCTAAGAAACATCATCAATGATTTATACAAGAATTCGAACTGGAAACCTTCACTTCTAGCACCGGGAGGATTCTTTGAGCCAGAGTGGTATGCTAAGCTTCTTCAGGTTTCAGGATCCAATGTTGTGAATGTCATCACACATCACATATACAATCTTGGGGCTGGTAAGTTAATGTTGTATCCAAAAAAAAATGGATCAATCTTGTCTGTTCTCTTCTTCATTGCTGCCCTTTTCATTACAGGCGTTGATCCCCATCTGGCAAACAATATATTGGATCCACATTACTTGAGCAGGGTATCAGAAACCTTCAACAGGCTAGACCAAACCATCCAAGTTCATGGTCCATGGGCGTCGGCGTGGGTCGGGGAGTCTGGCGGGGCCTATAACAGCGGTGGTCGTCATGTATCCAACACGTTCATTAATAGCTTTTGGTAATCTTCATTGCCATTAACATGTAGTCATGTCTTGTAATGCTTGTTTCGATCGAGTAAACCGTAAAGTGATCGTTTGTATGTTACGTGTGTACTCTAGGTACTTAGATCAGCTGGGATTGGCATCCAAGTACAATACCAAAGTGTATTGTAGGCAAACATTAGTTGGGGGTCACTATGGTCTGCTCAACGCATCCACACTCGTGCCAAATCCAGATTTTTACAGGCAACTCTTACAATTTAGCAATATTAACTCTTTTAGACATCTTTTAAGTCCTTTGTGTATCTGATTTTTACATCCGTTTGATTTTTGAAACAGTGCACTTCTGTGGCATCGGCTTATGGGGAAAACTGTTCTTCCCATTGGCAGTGATGCATCGTCGTACTTACGCGCTTACGCTCATTGTGCGAGAGGAAGTGTAAGTGTTCTTTGCATTCAGTTCGAAAAGTTTACAATCCTATTTGATAATGATCTGTGTGAGATCTCACGTCGATTGGAGAGGGTAACGATCTTTGTGAGATTCCACATCGACCGGAGAGGGGAACGAAGCATTCCTTATAAGGGTGTGGAAACCTCTCCCTAACGGACGCGTTTTAAAAATCATGAGACTGACGATGATATGTAACGGGGCAAAGCGGACAATATCTGCTAGCGGTGGGCTTAAACTGTTACAAATGGTATCAGGGCTAGACACCGGGTTGTGTGCCAGCAAGGACGTTAGGTCCCCAAGGTGGGTAGATTGTGAGTTCCCACATTGGTTGGAGAGAGGGAAACGAAGTAGTTCTTATAAGGGTGTGGAAACCTCTCCCTAACAAACACGTTTTAAAAACCGTGAAACTGACGGTGATATGTAACGGGTCAGACAATCCTAACTTTCCATTTTTAGAAGTAGCCTAAATCAAATATGTTCCAACTTTGATTGTTTTCAGAGTGGTGTGAGTGTTCTGCTGATAAATTTGAGCAACCAGACACATTTCTCAATCCATGTCCAAAACAGCAAAAACATGTTTCTGAATGTCCAAGAAAATGGGGTAATGAGAGAGAATTCCTTCCTGAAAGGCGTGAAGAAGAGTGTTGCATGGGTTGGCAACAAAGTCTCTGATGCAACAGTGTCAAGAGAAGAATACCACCTGACTCCAAAGGATGGGTACCTCCAAACCCAAACCATGCTTCTAAATGGATCGCCATTGGAGCTCACTGCTGATGGAGAGCTCCCAAGTCTGAACCCTGTCCTCCGAGACGTCAATACTCCGGTCCATATGACCCCGTTGTCGGTTGCTTTCATAGTATTCCCTAACTTCGACGCGCCGTCGTGCTTGTGATTTCATACCATCTTTGCAGCATAACTGTAAAGCTTATAGAAGCTGCATGAGTTCTGAATAATTGTACAATATCATCATAAGTTATTGTTTGTATTATGATTAATTGGGAAAATGTACAATAAGCTGTGGTTGACTGAAGTTTGATAGACGCTGTATTTTACTGTGTTTGCATTCCCTTTGTGGAGCTTGGAAGTCTGTGAAGCACAGTAATTGGTAAGATTTTCCGTGTATTTTCTCTCAAGTTAAACAAATATCAATGTCTGCATAATGGGACTTAAATTCTGCTTGTTCTTATATTTTGCTCAAATTTTCCCTGTATTTTAATATTTATTTAGTGGTGGAGATATATAAATTATGCTCAAAATTAATATTCTCTATGCAAAGTATTTAGAAAATAGACTTCTTCCTAACAAAGACGTTTTAAAAGTGTTCAGGAAGGTGTAGTGTGAATTTGGGTTGGGATGTGAATTTGGGTTGGGATGTGAATTTGGGTTGAGATGGTGCGGGTTGTCAAGTTAGATGTACATTCTTACCATTTGTAACAATTCAAGTTCACATTTGTAACAACTCAAGCCCACTGCTAGTAGCTCTAGCACACTGCCTAGTGTTGACTAGTAGCTCTAGCTATGCTAGCATGCCCTCTAGTGCATTTGTAACAATTCAAGCCGCTCTGGCACACCCTTTAGTGTCGACTTTATTACCATTTGTAACAATTTAAGCCTCGACTCTATTATCATTTGTAATAACTAAGCCTACCGCTAGTAGCTCTGGCACACCCTCCAGTGTCGACTCCATACTATACTCTATACCATTTGTAACAATTTAAGTCTACTCTATACCATTTGTAACAACCTGATAGCTTTGGCACACCACTCTATACCATTTATGTCTACTTGGGAGGGTTAGTGTTTGTATAAAAAATAATAATAATAATAAATAAATAAAAAATCAGTTCATTAAAACATGAAATAACCACAATTTACAAAAAAAAAAAGAATATTCCTCCTCCTTTCCTCTTCCTCTCACTCTCTTCCATCAATAAACTCTCTACAATGTTCTTTTCCAAATCAATCTTACGAAAAGAAGATGAAAAAAAAAAAAACGAATAAAATTCCCTTTTTAATGGTTGATTGAATTGAACGCATCGCATCTTGTCCTCACTTCTCCTTTCCCGCCAGTTTTCACCTCTCGAACGCTCATCTTCTCCATCGCCTCTCCGAAATCCTTGAAGAATAATGCCTGGTTTCCTGCATACATCTCCACGAATTTCCTTGTCCTCGGATCCTTCACCAGCGCGTGATCCGACGCCAACAGTCCCATTCCTCTCAGCAGATTCTGGTAGTATACGTTGTCGAACTTCCCTGGCGTTACAGGGTCGCTGTACGCCGAACTTGCTGGATTCTTCTCGTAATCGGCACAGGACTTCTTCAACGCCTCCGCGTATTTCGAATTAATCTCAGGATCTGTTGGTGTGTTTTTGCCGAAGTTGAAGAGCCGGTCGCTGAATTCCCTGCAATTTGAGAATCCGATCGTGCGTCCGCCGTATAGCGCTACCATTTCTTGAATCGTGAAGCCTTTCGCCGTGTATAGCTTGATCAACTCGTCGATCGATTGATTCGGTTTTGGAATGTTGCCTTCCACGTCTGAAACTTTGGAGACGAGGCTATCTTTTCGCCCTAACTCAACTTTGTACGATGGTCCGCCTGCGGCCGCGATGAGATCTCTAGTCGCCTGCGCTAACACGTCGGAGCAAGAGACGATGCCAGGGCAGGAGAGCTCTAAGGTAATTTTCGCTCGAGTGACGACGTCAAAGGCATCACCAGGAAGATCGCGGTTGAGTTCAGCATCGCGCTCGGCGTGGTTGAAGACATTGGATGAAACAAGAACAGAGCCATCGCAGCCTCCAACCAAACAATCGCTGAAGAAGAGGCGCATAGATGCAGCGGCCGTGACAGGGCTAGTAGCGTGCTTGCGAGCAACAGTGTCATGAACGATTTGTGGAAAATCCGGGCAAGTCTTCTGGTAATAATGGAGAGAAAGCTGAGATTGAACTGAGAATGGAAGGGATAGGAAAAGTAGAAGAAGAAGAGCGGGAGAGTGAAAGAAGGCCATGGCGGCAGAGGAAGGAGGCGGGGGGAAACCTGCTTCCTCTGGATGTGGAAAAGTGGAAGGGGTGTGTGTAGTGTGGTGAGGAGGAAGAAGGAAGCAATTGCGGTGTGAGGAAAACGGAGGGGATGAATGGGGCTTAAAAAGGAGATGGAGTAGTGGATGGGAGAGATTTTGGGAGATTTGTTAGAGATGAAGCATCCTTCAAGATTTAATGCTATTACTGGTACAATCAAACTCAGGTACTTCCTCAATCATCTAACGATCTTTTAATTACTAAAACTATGGTAACCATATGTCGATGTTGATCACCATATAGAAATGTCTTGTTATATGAACATTCAATAAATGAAAAAAAAAAAAATTGAAATTCAACAACTTACTGTGAACTTTGTAAAAGCAATAATTTAAAATAGGTACTCACCAACATGAATGTTCAGATATTGAGCCATAGTAGGTTGAGAAGGTAACTTGCAAGGATGAATCTCACACTAGTGCAGTATTGTGTTGAATCGAGGTCATTACTTGATCGAAAAGTATGTTGAGTTGAGTACCAACAGAATTGTGCACCTATAAATGGGATAGACTTGACTATGTAGATAGCTAAGTATAAGGGCTTTCAAGTTATTTTTGCCATTTGGGAGTGTGAGGGTTGAATTTTGATTCGAGGGAACGAAAGCGTGTATGATGGCATGACATTTGGGCTCTTAGAGCTGGGGGTAATTGTGTCATTCGCAGGTCTAAAGACTTGTGATGATAAGTGAAAGTACGAAGGAAGATTCATGGAAATGAGACCAATTTGAGTTGAGACTCACGTCTCCTTTTTACTTTTTTGCCCCCGCAGTATTCCTACTTAAATTATACGTTGCTATCACTCTTTGACTAATGATTTGGTGACAAATATTATGATAATAATCCACCCATTGTAGCATGCTTATAAAGATAACTATTCACCAAATTCAAATTATTTTTTATTGATAAAAACCCTTTCAAAAATTTGTAAGACTGCGTTTTTTTCTTTTAAAAATTTAAAAATATTTAAATCATTGAAAAAAAATTAATGAGGCATTTGACTATGTTTTTATTAAATAAAAAACAAAGGTGGACTTGAATTCTCCAACTTTATCTAATTTTGAAATATTAAAATTTTAAATTATACTTCTTTTTTTTTTTTTTTTCCATATTTGTGTCAAATAATTATTTATATATTTGAAAGTTACATATTTTAAATATTGAGTATTAGAGTGAGACATATTTAATAATTGTTTTGAGGAGAGTAGGCCCACTTAGGGGCATAATGGTATGGTAAATCTGGTAAGGGAAAGCGATGTTACGGGCCGAGGCAGAAAGACGTGCAAAAGGGCCCATTTAGCGCCGATGCTCGACGCGGTTTCCCGGGCTCATTCCGCCGCCCATACGCTCACGCTTTCTCTGACTGGCAACTCAATCCACCGGCCCTTTGCCTTTTGCCCAACCGGAAAAGTCCCCACCTAACGTTCCTTTTTTTCTGCTGCCCTTCTGGCTTATACGCCTCTTATTCGCGGCGGGACTTGGTCACAGCACCAGTTTCTTGTTTTTCAGAATGACCCTGAAAGCTTTGAGGGGAAAAATGACGACTACGATTGAGTTTCAGGGCAAGAGCCCCGAATTTGGATGAAGGGTAGGAGAACTTCGATGGAGAACGAAGGGGATCGGATGGTTTTCTTTTTGTAGATTTTTTTCTTTTTTTGGTGGATCGCTATTAATTTTTGCTTCTTTATGTGGGTTTGTATATATTCGCATATTTGTATATCTTTTGTTGTCTCTCGCGCCGCATGTTGGTCTTTTTAGTTCATTGTAATCTTCGGCAATACCACCGCTTCATCCCGTGTCTGTATGTCTTCTTGCCTCCTATGTCGTCGCAGAAAAGAAATCCAGATGATGGAGATGCTCCGGCGGATGGTGACAATCCCGATGATAAGCGTAGGAAGTTTAGTTTCTTTCGGTACCGCACTGTTCTTTCTCTCTATCTTACTTCTTTTATTGAAGTTTCCTCTTTGATTATACTGGGGTTCTGTTATTTTTCCTTGCAATATGGATTTCGAGTGAGTTTCATTAGCAATGCTGATTTATGTTTTGAACCTGAACTCCATTTGCTGGAAGGTTAGAATCCGAAGTAGGAACTTGGTGCGATCTGGCTTCATTGGTTTAATTCAATTCTGAGAGAACTGTTTGTATTTATCCTACTTGAGTTGGTACAAGAGCTTGATGATTCATGTTTAAGTCTTTTTTGGGTGAATTCTTGGGACTTTTCTGAGTGAGTAAAATGATGCATTTATATGGGGAACATAATGAGTGTCCGCTGTGCAATGGAGTTTGTTTGAGATTCCCCTAAAGGATAAATTTCGCTTGATGAAGCTATCGAAAATGATCTTCTGTGATGAATATAGGAAATGGGGAATTGGTTGGACTCACTCAAACTAGTTACGACTCAGAGAAGAGCTGGTCGCATACTAGGAAGACCAAGACAACTGGGATGGGGGGGTGTCACGGTCATGCTCATTCAGGGCGTGTTGAAGTGCAATTGTGACGGGCAGGACATTAGTCCGGCATTTGATTCTTGTCGTGGCCTCTGCTATAACACAGCCTCTTGGAGTCTTGAATGTCCATTTCTTGTATATTTCATTGAATACTTTTAATTTGTTCTAATCACCTGTTATGATGTTTTTTTATGTACAGTGTGGTTCAGGATGCTTTGTTCTCGCAATCAATGCAAAAGTTATTGGAGCCACTCATACGTAAAGTGGTAAGCATGATCACCAAAAGAAATATGTTCATAGCATTGCTGTAGAAAATTTATGAATAGGGATGGAAGTCTAAGCATTTACCAAACTATTGAGGATCTTTTCCTATTCTTTTGGGTAAAAAAAGGATTGTCGTAAAATATAAGGTCCACGAATCCTCTAACGTGTCGTCGGGTATGAAGACTACCTCTCTTTCTATTTCTAGAATGCTGACCTATTCAATTACCTTCATGTCTGAACAATAATAACATACTCCAAGTAGACTTTCAATTTATGTTTCAACAGATGCATTAATGTTTCTATTCCTTGAGTTGCAAATTTTAGCATTTGCTGTAAGCTTGCTAGTTGTGGCTGACAGGTAAAGGAGGAGGTTGAATTGGCGCTAAGAAAGCATATGACCAATGTGCAAAGGTAACTTTTCATGATTTTATGTTTAATTGCTGAAGCATATGACCAATGTGCAAAGGAATAGAGAGGAGGTGAAATCTGATCATAAGTCATTAAAATCCAAAAGCATCTATATATGGATAATATATTCGAGGTGCTGATGAAATATCAATGGATTTATGTTAAGGAATGATGAAAATGGAGGGAAAGAAATCTGTTCTTCCGAGCCAAGATGCTTTCAATTGAAGTTCATAACTGATATATCTCTCCCGGTATTCACTGGAGCTCGCATTGAAGGAAGAGATGGTTCCAACTTGAAGGTGGCTTTGATTGATACTCAAAGTGGGAAAATTGTTGACACTGAGCCACAATCCTCAGCCAAAGTGGAAATTGTAGTGCTGGAGGGTGATTTTGAGAGTGGAGTTGATAATTACACTATAGAAGAGTTTAAGAACAACATTGTTAGAGAAAGGGAAGGAAAGAAATCACTTCTTACAGGAGATACATTTGTGAACCTCAAATATGGCATTGGTTTGGTAGGTGAGATTTCTTTCACTGATAATTCTAGCTGGACTAGAAGCCGTCGGTTCAGGCTGGGTGCAAGAATTTTAGACGACAATAATGAAATGAGAATACTAGAAGCAAAGACTGCATCATTCGTGGTCAGGGATCACCGTGGCGAATGTGAGTACTTAGCTTTATTATTTAATTTTCTGGGCATGGTTCCTTTCTAAACCTAACCTCTGCCATTTTGTTCAGTGTACAAGAAGCACCATCCTCCATCTCTGCAAGATGAAGTATGGAGATTGCAGAAAATTAGCAAAGATGGAGCGTATCATAAGCGCCTGAGCCAAGAAAAAATCAAGACGGTGCAAGATTTCCTAAGTCAACTTTATGTACAACCTTCAAGGCTTCGTAATGTAATAATAATACCTTTTCCTCGTGTAACATCTATCATTTTATGCAAAATTTGGCTTTGCTAGTAGAAATTTAAGCCAAAGTATTCCATATGCAAGCGACATTACTGTTTTTTTCGTCTTAAAAAGCAGATTCTTGGTGGCATGCCTACCAAAATGTGGGAAGCTACAATTGAGCATGCGCAGACATGTGTGCTCAATAAGAAGATTTATGTGTACAAACCTCACGATTTGGAACCGAAAAGTGGAGTGGTCTTTAATGTTGTAGGACAAGTGATGGGGCTACTTTCAGATTACCAGTACGTTCCCATAGATAAGCTATCTGAAACTGAAAAGGCACTCATCTCCTGTCTCTTCTAAATATACATGTATTATTCTTTTCAGTTGTTTTACATTCTTTTCAGCTGATTTATTAACGTTTTTTCTGAACTCAGGCTGATGCTCACAACTTGGTTATCTCCGCATACGAACACTGGGAACAAGTTGATTCTATGGATGATGAAACTTCTCTTGTAGGTAGCTCTTCTCAGTTCCTTTACACCCCGAGCTCACCGATGGTGGACCATTCTTATGGTATCAAGTATTTGGATTCTCCAAAATTTAGTGGCTTTGATTTCACACCATCCAATGCCTATTCTTCTGACATAATTTCATCGATGGGATCTATTGAGAATGTGAGTGGTTTGGACGATCATGCTTTGCAGGCCTTTGATTCCGTGGTAGTAAGACATGATCAGATTCCATGTTCCCCAAACTATCCCAGCTCTTCCCTGCTCTGTGATTCCGAGCCGCTAAATTCATCTTTCTTCGATGTGGATCATATGCAAGTTTTAGAGTCTGATTTCCAATGTAGCTCGATTTTAGAATCACGAGCTACTCCAAAAGGTGTTGCACAAACTAGATGGACTAAGGTATATGGTGTGCTGCAATGGTACTTCTTGTTTATTAGGAGAAACAAACGCAGATTTGATTGATACAAAGGTGGTCGTGGAAAGGAAAAAATGGACTATGGTTGATACTGGAAAACACACTAATGTCCAGTTTAAAATGTGTGCGGTTATGACGAGAAGCTCGGGGTGGTGCGTGTTATTTGGTATGGAGACGAGGCTATGCAGTTTTTTTCTAGGTGTCTGTCTTGCTGTGCCCGTATCTGAGCCAGAAGAATTTTCTCCCTGATCAAGTGTGTGTACATTATGTAGCAATTTTCAACACTATCAGAAAGTATCTGGTCTCAGTTGATGGTTGATCGGAATGCTCAAGATACTTATCTTTGGTTCTTTACGCTATACATTTCTGTACAAAACGAACTCTCTTTCAGCCTGTTTTTACATTGGGAATGGGAGGCTTTTTTTATAGTGCATATAATTTTTGATTAAGAAGTTCATGTCTTGAGAAAATTCTCTTTTTCTTCCTCTTTTCAGTGTCTATGAACTATTTATTCTTCTTTTCAGTATATTGAACCTTACTTTAGCTTTCTTCTGGAGGACTGATCGGGCGTTAAATAACGACGGTAAACAAATGTTTTCTTAGATGAGTTTATTAGCTTCTTGAATCAGCAAGATGTTATAAATAGAAGCAGAAATCAATACCAACGAGATTGTTGAGTACAAGGAGAGCTGGGAAGAAGTGCCTATGATATCTACTAGAGTACATTTGACATTTTGTGGACTACGTATAAAGTATTGTTACGAGTCTATAAGGCAGCCATGTATACAGGAATGTAAAAGAAACGTCTACTAGCTCTCTCCCTTTCTGGTAATCCAATGACCAAGTGAGAATTGTCATCCCGTGTAGAAGGATTACGCCTTGCAAGCCTTGCTGTCATTACATACTTCATCCTGTGCAGAAAACGCCGAATGCATATGTATATGTTTATAAAGATCAATCATTCCTCAACCAGAAGCCGAAGATAAGCTTCTTGTGAGAAAAGGATGTCCAAATTCCTATTTTAATTTCACGTCCACTTCTAAGTCCATAAACAAAAGATAGGCCAAAGAAGAATTCTTCATTTCTTTCTTGTGAGAAGCTCATTCTTGTTAAGTTAAAACTAACGAATTCATAAAAGGCACAAAAGTTTACCTTGTTTTTCTTCCGTGCAACCAGAATATCTTCTAGCGGTGGCCGACCTGAAACAATATCATAGTGACAAAGAAATAGGATCACAACCATGCTGTAAAACCATCAAGAACTTCAAGACTCGTGAGTTTTGTTAATGCAGCTACGAATTGATATTTGAAGGAGTAGGCAGCATTTTGAATTAGTCAACAAATGCACTTATGTGGATAGTTCCGAGTGTGGAAATCCATTAACCACGCAACAAGTTCTAGGCACAAGAAGACTGCTATGGATGTAAGGCATACATAAGGAGTTATACTTTTCTTTCTGTACGCAAGCCATTTGGGGTCTCATATGCACAGAAACTATATTATCTAAAAATCTCACGGTCATGTTTCACCTGTCAATTGAAGACGATATTTTGCCCAGAGACCATATACAGCATCGGCTAATGTTCCAACCTGTGGAAATAAGTTGTTCATAAGCAACAATGTGAAGGCATTGAGAAATCGGTGTCCTGGGATAAAAATTGAGCCTGGTGGAGAAGATAGATGAAAGCTCAAATAAGTTCGAGAAGACTTACTGGTTCATATTTTGTAACGGCATATACCCATCCAAGACCAACTTGTTCATAAAGTCTTCTAAAGACCTGCAGAAGAAGCACGGTAGGGGGAAAACAGAGACAATCTATGAGTAAATCTGTGTTCTAAAGGTTGTCAAGCATCTAATATTTGAACAAGATGTTTTAAAAGATCAACGGATGAGAGAAATAACGAGCCCGAGGTTGATAGAAGCCAAAATTTTAAATACTTCACATGGCAGGGAAAAGGTGTATTACTTACAATAATCGAGTTGCACAACGAGTGACCCAACAGAAAACTATGATATAATACAATCATGATTTTATAACTGAATTTAAGAACAAGAAAAGGAAAAGGAAAAGGAAAAGGAAAAGGAAAGGAAGGAGCTTACTTCCACATCTCTGACCACGGTACCATCTGCAAGGATAGCATGGATTCTTCCCATAACCTGAATGACAATAGAATGTGTAATACTTCATAATTGTTCCTTAGAGACTGAAAAAATTTCCATATAATAAAGTAACTAATACTCGTTTGATTTCTTTTTGGTCCAATAACAACCACTTTTTCTTAATAGAAAAATTTGTAAAGACACTACACATTGCAATAGGTCCTTGAATTTCATAAGTGCAGACTGAGGAAGTAAATGAGAATTGTAATCACCCAAGCCTACCACTAGCAGATTTTGTCCTCTTTGAACTTTCCCTTTCAGGCTTCCTCGGAAGGTTTTAAAATGCGTCTGCTAGGAAGAGGTTTCCACACCCTTATAAAGAACGTTTCGTTCCCCTCTCCAACCAATATGGGATCTCACAATCCACCCCCTTTAGGGGCCAGCATCCTCGCTGGCACACCACCCAGTGTCTGGCTCTGATACCAATCTGTCACGATCGTATTTTCATCATGGTTCGATTTCTCGCAACCTCGAAAATTGGGTTGTAACAAGAATAATGATGGATCGATAGTTCATGGTGTTAGTATTATTCAAAATCAAGTAATGTTAGTATTGATTGTGATTCTTCTTCCTGTTATCGATAATTCATGATATGGCACAATCAAGTAATGTTCAGAAAGATAACAGGAAGAAGAACCACAATCAATACTTTCAAAATTCAGATAATTGATCTCTCAATATTCAATCATTCAGAAACCAGAAATAAACGTCATACGGTTTTGTAGTCAAGGCCCTGATTTTCTTCTGGGGTGTAATCATCTGAACTTATGTCAACAAACTTGATTGTGCCATATCGCTTATTCCTCTCCCTCAGCATATTAACCTGGCAATACCAAGAACTCACAGAGAATTAGATACAAATAAGGGCATTGATCAACAATTTTAAAAGCCAAATTCTACTAAGAGCGATTCCATAGGCTAAATTTAAAAGCAAACAGGATGGCTCGGTACAACCTCACGCATGCAGAGTGGGCAATCTCCATCATAGAGCATTTTGATCTTCCAACTTTCAGGCGATCGTTCTCCATGCTCTCTGTTCGAAGAAACAGGATCTACTGCAGATTCACTAATAGCGCAAATTTGGAATTTCAATCCTGCATTGTTCATCAATCTTCAGGGAGATTATGGTGTGCTGTTTTCCGAGAGAAGCTAATTTCATTGAATGAGACTAATCTTTAGAAAATACCACCCTAAACCCATTAGGTTTAAAACCATGGGTCAATTTGCAAAAGGCGCACACATGAACATGCAATTAATCTCGCCATTTCTCTTCTCTGGCTCTAGCCATTCAAACAGAAGTCTATCGTCTTGTAAATGACTCGCAGATCTTTGATCGGAAAAACAAGTAAAAGGATCGCGAATAGAGAGGCAGGGCGAAGGAATCTTACGGGGTTGATTGGTCCAAAATGCGGAGAACGGTTGCGGAAGAAGCAAAGGAGTGCGATGGAGGCGGAGCTTGGGAAGCTGAGAAGTTGATAGTCGAATTGGATTACCGATCCTTCCAGCAAACTTAGATGCCATGGCAGTGGCAGTGGCAGTGGCAGCTGCTCCAAACGCCATGTTCTAGTTTTTCTCCTCTTGTGGTTTGCATTCGAAGTCTTACGCCAAGGTGAAGCTGATTCTCACCCTTCTTCCTCCTTGCATGTCTAAACGCGTGGCTATCCACAATCCACTTGTATTTCATTTCCATTTCCGTCTATGCTTCTAAAAACTATTGAGACTATTGGGAGAGTATCTCCGATCCAAGTTCATCACTCGCGGATATTATTTTGAGATTAAAAAAAATAAACAAGATTTTTTTATATAATTTTTTTACCGAATATAATAATTTATGTTGTTGAAGTATGTCGTAATCTAATAGAAATTCGTAATTTTGAAGTGGCAAAATAATTAAAGGCATTTCATATTGCGTTAAAGTGGCTGAATCCATTTCTGTTTACGCAGTGAAAGAAAGAAGCCCACTTTCCTTTCAGGTTTTTACATTCCCAAATTTCTCCCTCATCTCACCATCGCAGCTCTCCTCTTCCTTCTCGCATCTCGTACTCAGGAACAATGGCGTTTTTGCTCAACAAAACCACTCTTGCCTCTCATTTCCGATCTCAATCCCAGGTTATTTCTCCTTCGATCGCCTCTTAGCTTATTTTTTTTCTTAATCGTTCTTTTTCTTTTCTCTCAATCAATCTCTTGAGTTGTTTGGTTGACCAACAGGCGGATCCTTCAACACTCTCGCGCCGTGGATTCCACGTCGAGCCAGGAACTCGTGAAAAAGCTGTAAGCATGTTTTACTTTCTCCTTGTTAATTGCTATCTTTAATTGATCGTGTAGCGGTTTATTCCATGTTTTGGGATATTAGTTCCTTGTAGCTCATCGCAGCTCCATTATGTTAATTGATATCTCATAATTATATGTTCAGTTTTTATTGTATGGCTGGTAATCTAGTTCCTTTCGCTTTATTGTATTTGAATCTTTCGACCCTAGTGTAGATGGAAGCTTTTCGAACCTGTTCCAACTCCTGTATTTAGGACTAGGAAATTAGAGGGGATGGGAGGTCGCCGTGCTGTTTTCTTAACTAATGTGATCCCGTGCTAATGGCTTGAAACCCTGGTGAAAAGTGATGTGTTCATAGTATTGGTGAAAGTTACGGGTTTGCTTTGCAGTATGTAGTATGTTCTCAAACTCCGCATGTATAATTTCCGTAGCGATACTTTCTTAAGCATGTGTTTGAAAATATTTATTCCTTGCATCACAGAAGAGCATTCCTCTACTGGATAAATAAATATCTATCTAATTTTTTGGTTCGCCTCTGGCATTTGTGTGAGGGAATTTAGTTGCTAAGTATGTGATGCAATGAGTTTTAATATGTTGAATGTCTGCAGTTATTAGCTGAGGACCCTTCTCTAAGGCGGTTCAGATCACACAAGAAAGGTGTCTCTAGAATCAAGAAAATTGGAGATGTTCTGACCATTGTGGTTGTTGCAGGTATGAGTCTTTTTTCCATTAAATAAAATACTTGTCTCTTTGTCCAGTGGGTCCTTGCTGCTATCTGCTATTATAGCAACATTGATGTGGATGGTGTGTGGCTGAATGATCTTTTGAGTGATGTATGTCGTTACGAGAGTTTCATATCTTTGCAAGCTTCTTAGAAATGAAAATTGGCTTTCGGCATTTCAAACTTTCCATGCTTTTAGCCAAACCTAGTTTGTTCTTTCCTAATTTTAGGATTGTGGCAACTGCCAGATTATTATTAGTGCCTTTTAGACTTTAGTGGCATTATCCTTGAGTTCTATCCATGATACAGCTTGCTAACAACAGGTTGATTGAGACTAAGTAGCTATTTTTTTCTGTTTATTTAATTGGCGTGCTAGCTTTTCGACTTTAGTAGCTAGTATGAAAGATTTCATTTTAAGTTGATGATACTTAGTCTTAGTAATTGAATCAAGTGATAATTACCTAGACAACTGGCTTATTTTCTTCACAATTTCTATACTCTACAAAATGTTTGTGTAGGATGATGCACTGAGCTAACTGAGTTCATAGACATTTGATCTCCCCCACAAACTTTATTTCCATGAGTAGAATTTGGGTTGGGAAGTTAATTTGTCCATTATCCAAAGGAGAAAATTAAAAATTTGTAAATTTTGAGTGCTTCACATTTGCACCTGGCTATGTTATGTGAATTGGCATGATGACATGAGACATCTCTGATTTCTTGTTTTTGCTGTTTCTACGCCCCAAGTCATTGTTGGTCATTAGAAGATTCTTTTTTTTTTTTGGTACAATGTTACCGTCCATAACAACTTTGAACTTTGTTATAACTTAAGGCAACATTCAACACCATACTTCTATCCCCAAGCATGCCAACCTCGTCTTTTCTTTGAAGAGACTATTGATCAATTTTTATGAGCTATTTTTGTATGGCAGATTGTTGGTTTCAGTTATGGAACATGTTCAACATAAAATGATGCTTCCATAAAGATATACGTTCTTCCTGAAATTATTTTGTGAAGGTGGTTAAAAGGAAAGAAAATATTCTTGGGAATGAATGCTTCAAGAGCTGTTTTATGGGTCATTTGGTTGAAACTAATGACAAATTTTTTAACAACATACATAGAAATTCTAAAGGAAAGTGGTAGATAATTTGAGAGAATTTAAAGCGTGTAACCTTTCTTTGATCAAAGTCATATAAACGTTTTGAAGATATCTTCTATCATCATGGGGACTTTCTTTCTCCTTAATCTCCCCATGCTTGATGGTAGGAGGGCTATCTCCTTGCCTCTCTTTGTATCTCTTCTGTAATCTTGGAATGAGATTTTTGTCTCACCCACCCCTCCCAACAACAAGAACTATAATAATAATAATAATAAAAGAAAAAAGAAGCTGATCTTTGTTATTTGTATGTTTTTCAGGATGTTGCTATGAAATCTATGTAAGAGCAACCATGCGAGAAGAAGCTCGACAGGCAAAGACTGCTAGCGGAAGCACATGATGGAATTAAGAATCCAGTGGCAATTAAAATGTCCGGCAAAAGTTTCCAATGCTTTCATTTGTTTGCTAAATAAAGGTTGTTTTTTAAGCACCATTCTGTTAGGTTTTAATCATCAATAATATTTTTTGACCTGAGACTTTGGATCATCCTAAGGGATAACAGGATACATTTTTATCGTTATGAGCACCTTTTATAACCTTGTGTTGCCTGCTCTTTAGTTTGAAATATAAGTGACATGATGGAGGGACGTGAGCTGAAACTATTGAAGATTTTGAGAGATGGGATTATCCTTGAAAAACTGTTAGAATGTTGAATGAAGAATTGATATATTCAAATTTCTTGAAAAAGAAGATTGGACCCACTACATTAGCAGTAACACCCACATGAACAAACGATTAAAAATGAATTGAAAAATACAAGTAAGATTGGTTGGTGTTTATTATTGATATGATTTGAAGTATAAATAATGCTCAATTTAGTATAGTCTCATTTATATTTTTAAAATAGGACAAGAATGGTGGGTGGGACAGATCATTTCAATCCCTCTTCCCAGTAGGTGCCTAAAAGGAGAATGAGAAAAGATGTAAACCAAAAGAACGCCCCATTCCCTTTCTCACTTGAATCTAATGTGGAGAAGGATAAATAGTATTGAATGTGTTATAGATGATCGAGCACATGTTGAATAGCCACACGAGATGGAAGAAATTGAAACTTCCAAGATAACCCCTCAATCGATACAGTACCAAGTCAAAGCAGTCTAACAAGAGAGAATCTTTGTTTACAACTTCACATCCTAGTGTCCAATCGGATGATGAAGAGATGTCTTCTTTGGTAGTCTAATTCAAGTCGGTGATTGTAAGATCCCACGGATCAAAAAGCCTCAATTAAAGTTCAATGAGATCCGATAAAAATTAATAAAGCAGAGCAGAAGTTAAAGATGAAAGCATTGTAGCGTGGAGGACGACCGGAATTGAAACATATTAGGATAAAAAATTCACAAAATTCAAAAAGAAAAGAGCAATGATTTAAATTTAATGAACTACAAGATAATGAAATCGACACCTTGTATTTGCATAAATAATTAGTTAGATGAGTTTGTGATATGTCAAATCATGAACCATAGTACTTGGAAAAAGTTGTCATGTATAGATGCATTTCTTATCTGTCATACATTTGATTGCCAAAGACATGCCATTTTTTATTCAAAATTATCATCGGTTGTTCATTCAACAGATCAGATCATCCCTCAAATTTTATCATTAAAATAAACTTGGCTCTGAAACATAACGTATATGGCAATAAAATTGCATTAAAACCCACATTAATCCACTGGTTGGAGCATAATATTCAACTTTTGTGAGCAATTAAAAGAGCTGAGACATGAAAAATGATGAAGTAAACGGCTGTTCAGATGGGGAATTTATGTTTCTGGTCAAATCTTCAAATTACCCATTACTGGAAATTTGTCAGTTTGTCTGTATGAATAAGCCTGAGCTGTAATCTGTGACTCAGAATTTTCTAACACTAAAAAGGGCAAAGGAGAGCTCCTCTGCTTCTTCTTTCCCTTCCTTCTTCTCAGCCTCATAGTTCAGTTCAGCTCAGCTCAAATTCTTCTTTGAAAATGGCGTTTTTAGGGACAACCCAGAAGTGCAAGGCATGTGACAAGACTGTTTACTTGGTTGATCAGCTCACTGCAGATAGCAAAGTCTATCACAAGGCTTGTTTCAGGTGCCACCATTGCAACAACACTCTAAGGGTAAATCTTTTGAATAGAATAGATCCCCAGATCCTATCCCTCATACTCTGTATCTCTAATTGATATCAAATGATCCTATATGCCTACCTTTTCTGTACTGATTCTGTTTTTTCTGATACTCGGATCTATATGTCTTAACCAGTAGAGATATGAATAGGTGCCTGTCACTTTGAAACGATTCTGTTTTTTCTGTGATTGCAGTTGTTCAATTACTCTTCCTTTGAAGGTGTTTTGTATTGCAAACCTCACTTTGATCAGTTGTTCAAGATGACTGGAAGTTTGGAAAAAAGTTTTGAAGGAACTCCAAGAACTGTGAGGAAACACAGATCTACTAATCAGGTTTTTCATTGCTTCATTCTTTTAAAATCACTGTTTATGAACTGATACCCAACTCCTTGGTGTTGGTATTAGTTTATGAAAGTTAAACTTTTGACTTAAATTGAAGGGCCAATCCAATAGCAAATTGTCAAGCTTTTTTGCTGGAACTCAAGACAAATGTGTTGCTTGCAAGAAAACTGTTTATCCAATTGAGAAGGTAAATGGGCAAATAATGAAAGGGTTCATGACTTTCCTTGTTTCTTTTTCCTGTTTTTCTTGAGAGATTCATAGTGTGATAAAGTTGGAAGTTCCAAACTGGGAAGGATGGTTGAATATTGTCTTTAGCTTCTTTTCCTACCGTATCCGATAGAAAGCTCGAATCCATAGTCAGTCCACTCGACGTCACAAATAGTAATAAGAAAATCAGGGACAGGGTCAACGATCACTCATGTCACTGGCAACACGACAGGAGTGAGATTGTGAGATCCCACATCTGTTGGGGAGAAGAATGAAGTATTCTTTATTAGGGCGAGCAAACTTGTTTTAAAAAATCTTGAGGGGAAGCCTGAAAAGGAAAACCCAAAGAAGACAATATCTATTAGTGGTGGACTTGAACTGTTACAAATGGTATCAGAGCCAGACACCAAACGATGTACCAGCAAGGACACTGGACCCAAAAGGGGGTGGATTGGGGAGACTCACGTCAATTGTAAAGAGGAACGAGTGCTAGTGAGGACGCTGGGCCCCAAAGAGGGGTGGATTGTGAGATCCCACATCGGTTGAAGAGGGGAACGAAGTATTTTTTATAAGAGTGTGGAAACCTCTCTATAATGGACGCATTATAAAAGCCAAGTGTATTTGTTTTAGTATAACAACATATTGAGGTGAGAATTTGAGGTCTCTTTGTTTGGTTCAGGTGGCAGTAGATAGTAAATCATACCACAGAGGTTGCTTCAGGTGCTCACATGGAGGATGTGTGATTAGCCCATCAAACTACATAGCACATGAACATCGACTATACTGTAGGCATCATCACAACCAGCTCTTCAAACACAAGGGCAATTTCACCCAACTTGACAACCATCATGAACATATTAAAGGGACTCACTAAGAACACACACCACTTCATTCAGACTTTAACCTCTTTTCATCCTTTCATTAATGAGTTTTTTTTTTTTATATGTGAACTCACTGGCTTTGTTTCATCTGCTTTGTTCTATCTTATTGTTCCGTTTTGGCATGTTACATATCGTCTTTAGTCTCACGGTTTTAAAGCGTGTCTACTATGGAGAGCTTTCCACACTCTTGTAAGGAATGTTTCGTTCCCTTCTTCAATCAATGTGGGATCTCACAATCTACCCCCTTGGGAACGCAGCGTTCTCGCTAGCACACTGCTCGGTGTATTGTAACGGTCCAAGCCCACCGTTAGTAGATATTGTCCACTTTGACCCATTACGTATTGCCTTCAGTCTCATGGTTTTAAAACGCGTATACTAGGGAGAGGTTTTCACACCCTTAGGGAGCCTAATGTCTTCGCTGGCACACCGTTCGATGTATGGCTTTGATACTATTTGTAATGCTCCAAGCCCACCGCTAGTAGATATTGTCCGTTTTGACTCGTTACATATCGTTATCAGCCTCATGGTTTTAAAACGTGTTTACTAGAGAGAAATTTTTGCACTTTTACAAGGAATGTTCCGTTCCCCTTTCTAATCAATATGAAATCTCATCCGAGAAAACAATATCCAATAAATTATGAGATATATCTCAATTATTATTCTTATCTAACAGCTGGAGTCAATGAATGAGATTGAATGACTCACCAATGATATGCCTCATAATCTGTAGAACAAGAAGTTAATGATATTTATTCTTCTACTCCAACCTCCACACCAGAAAGAGAAAAAACAAAGGAGGGAACTTCAACTTATAATGACATATTGCTTTGGGAGTTGAGATATCGGTTCTTTTTTTCTCGTTCGATAGCTAAATTGTAATCACTCAAGCCCACTGTTAATAAATATTGTTTTTATTGGACTTTCCTTTCGGGTTTCCCTTCAAGATTTTAAAACGCATCCGCTATAGCGAGGTTTCCATACCTTTATAAGGAATGTTTTGTTCTCCTCTCCAACTAATATGGGATCTCACAATCCACCCCAATTGGAGGCCAGCGTCCTCACTGGCACACCACCCGGGGTCTAGTTCTAAGACCATTTGTAATAGCCCAAGTCCACCAGCGGGCAAATATTGTCCTCTTTAGACTTTCTTTTCTAGACTTCTCCTCAAGATTTTAAAACACGTTTACTAGAGAGAGGTTCCTACACTTATATAAGAAATACTTCGTTCCTCTGTTCAACTTGACATGAGATCTCAATCGGTTGACATAAGAATGGATACCATGTTGGCCTGAATTATGTTATAGCACTAGCAGTGCACGAGGGGCTGTCACATTCACCACTAAATCTCTTCCTCATTTTGTCTTTGGTTTCATATTGTGTGCATGCATGCCAACTCTCCCTTTCCTTTTTTCTTACAACTAACCTATCAACTAATCTCTTGTTTATAGCCTTATCAACAATCCTTCAAAACAAATATGCATGTTCTTGATGTTGATTGATGTTCTATGTTCAAGAATAGTAAAAACGAGTATGAAGATGCACTTCGAAAGAATAATAATTGACTGCACATCTGTATCTATATGTATGTCTCTTCTTCTACCCCTCATTAAAATTTTGACTTTTGTACCTTCTTCTCCATTAGCTAAACGGGTGTCAGTGAAGATGTTGGTCCCCGAAGGGTAGTGGATTATGAAATCCCACATCGATTAGAAAAAGAAACGAAACATTGTTTATAAGGGTGTGAAAACCTCTCCGTAACAAACACAATTTAAAAATCTGAGGGGAAGTCCAAAATAAAAGGTTTAAAAAGGACAATGGGCTTGGGCTATTACATTGTTCCCCGTGAATTTCCTAAAGAAAAAGCTTAAAGAGGCGCAATATCGGTCTCATTTTAGTAACATCTTAGGTAGTTTAATCCACCGAGGTTTTGAGCTATCCATGCCAATATGTCAGTCAACAAACCACACAACATTTATCCTACCACGTCTCCATAGTGTTTTTGAGATTCATCCTTTTCCTCAGCAACTCTCCTACTACACTCACACATTTTCTATCAACGTCGGACCTAATTGCAATCTCTTTCTTCTAAAACTTTTGGTACTCCCCTTCAATATTTAGAGCCCCAACCCCTTCAAATATGTTTTTGATCCTAAGTGTGAGAGAAGAGGGGAACGAGTATCAGTGAGAACGTTAAACCTCGAACGAGAGTGAATTATGAGATCTCATATTAATCGGAAAGAGAACGAAACATTCTACTATTAGTGGGTTCGACTCTAGCCCACCTCCTCCTAAATTTCCTTTGGATTGAAGTAAGGGAGAATTAAAAGAAAAGGTTGAAATCTGAAAGACTTTATTAAAATCATGATGGTTTGGGCATTGAGGAATATTCCCCTTGTTTTAAATAAAAAGATGAAGTTAATGATTGTATGAGAGTAAAAAATATATATACAAAAATGATGAGAAAGTTTAAAAATAATATAAATAAATTGGGTAGTGCTGATCCATCACATCCCAATTAGATCACAATTATGATATTTAACTGTAGCTATGCACGAGGGGCACTGTCACATTGCACTAAATCTTTACTCATTTTGTCTTAGGTTTCATTTCTTGCATGGACTCACTCTTTTCTATTTCTTTTTTCCCCTTTTTTAATTATATCTTAACCTCTATGTTTCAAATCATTTTACGAAACTATTGACCCTACAACATTTGATTTTCTTGGTAACATTTAAACTCCAAGCAATCATAGCTTTCCAACTACATTTAGTGGACACAATTATTAATCCATTTCATTAGTTCCAAGAAAATATGCTGGAAATGAATCATTACCGTACGAAGCTAGCTAGCTAGCTAGCAAATCCACGTCACTTCAACTTCAACTGTTCTCCCGAGTTGTAAGCTTTAAAGAACTCGAGAGATGAACCCTGCAATCAATTTAAACGTAACTAAACTCATTTTAACATTTATCTTCAACTCTACATGTTATTGAACATAACAACAAAAACAACAGAGTAGAGTAAGCACAAGCACTTGTCTATTCTATTCTGCTAAAACAGATGAAACAGAGTGGTAATCAAAACAGAGCTCATTTTGCACAATGACCAATAGCCATTACTGAAAAGGACTTTGAATTTACAAAGATGTTACCCACCCTGCTTTTCCTATGCACGGTTTTATGCTGTTTTGCTTCCAGATCTGCTCTTGAAGGAATTTCTCTTCTTGAATTAAAAAGCTCATTTGGCTTCTCATCTTTATTTGTTTTCACTTTCTCCAGTTTTCTGCTTTTTCTGTTGTTTTTTTTTTTTTTTTTTTTTTTCCCTCTTTGGAGAAGTTTAAAGAGCCTTGGACAATCTGTGCCACCCTGTCTCTCAATAGCATGTGGGAAATAGGGAACATAAATGATTAGCTACCAGCTTCTGAGATGCTATGTAATGAAGGTTGCCATGTTCTTGACCTGGCTATGGCCGAGGTTGTCGATGTACTTGTCCTTGGTCTGTTGTTCTTCTCGTGTTTGGTCGCCTACAAAAATTATGCAGTCGTTTACAAACAATTATAATTAAATCAATCGTCAAAAGAACTCCCTTCAAAGTTGAGAATTGTTTTGATGTTTGTTAAAAAATTCACCTGAAAAGGATCTTCAGATACAGATCTTCCAGCTGCGGCGGTGGCTGCTGAATCTGAGCCTCTGGCTGCACGTTCTTTCCTCCTCCCTGCCTTCTCAGCGGCTTCTAACTGGCTTTGTTTAACCTTTGCTTGTTTCTTTGCGGATAAACCACTCATAACCTCTGAAACCCACAAAGAAAATGAAGCCATTAATTCAAATTCAGACTAAAAAATTAAGAGATTTGAAGAATTTTATGGGTTGGATATGAAAAACAGACAGCAACAAGAGGAAGAACGGTGGTAGATATAAAACTCACCTTTAGAAGTGATGAGCCTGTAAACTTGGCCAAGAACAAGCGTGTCAGCTGGGCGAAGAAGCTTGATTCTAGTTAAACGAACCGAATTACTACTGCCTTCATTCTCCTTTTTCTCAACCTTTCTGGCTTCATTCTCCTTTTTCTCAACCTTTCTGGCTTCATTCTCCTTTTTCTCAACCTTGCTGGTTTCATTGTTATTAGAACTTTCATTCGGTGTAACCATGGTGGTGGAGATAAGAAGAGCAACATAATGACCAGGATTCATCTTCATGATCTCTCTAGCAGTCACAGGCCAATATAGTTTGTCAACTTTCCCACTTGGGTGTTGTATCACAAGTGTTGCTGCATCAATGGCTTGGCAATTTCCCATCTCTCTCTCTCTCTCTCTGCTGGGAATGAAACTGTGGGAGAAGAGGATAATGAACAAACAAAAGGGGAGGCCAAGGAAAGAGGACCAATCTTTTTTTATAGCCACTAGAGATAGAGAGGTACTCATTCACCAGCAGCTTTAACCTCTTATCTATTCAATAGATCTTGGGGTTAAAAGGGCTACCCAGGTGACAAAGAGGGGCAACATTGTCCAACAAGTTATGATGTGTTGAGCTATGATTGGGTGGGTGGAGGAACAGGGGATTTGGTGCCAAAGGTGAAAATACAGCTTCAAGTCTTGATATGTGCATTACATGATGAATACAGTCTCATTGCTTTGCTTTCCCCAATAATTTTCTCTTTTCAGTTTGGATTTTTTTTATATCCCCCATGGAATTCTTCGAAGTAAGACTACCACACCACTTTGTAAATGAAAAGGAATCTATGAATTAATAAATGAAATGGGGATGGAAACATTTCGAATGTCATGCTCTCAAAGTTATGATTCAACAGGACCACAAAGAAGACAAAATTTCCCTTCATAAAATGTCAAAGATTTCCCACAGCCCCAAAAAGAGAAAAAAAAAAAACTTGAATCTTCTACTTCCAGTGGTTCTTCTTGGATTACACAACTGGGAGTAGTTTTCATGTAGCCCACAAGAAACAGACCAGAATTGGAGGTGAAAATTCTTGTGGGCGCCTCTAAATCCAATCCCTAAGCCCATCTCCTTCAGAATTTTCATTCAAAACAGTAAAATAAATCATAAAACAGAGCAATTAAATAAGTTCCATAGCTTCCAAGAATGAAACAATCAAGGTTGAGAAACCCTAAGAGAATCAGTATAATGAGTGATGTCGCATCAAAGGGAAATTCAGACAGAGTCTCAACGTTTTCTCCTTTTTCTTTTTTGGTTAGGTATTACATTACGAGCTCTTTCTATTCATTACAACCATCTCCCTTTCAAAAAGGAAATTTACCCTTTTCACTAAAGCTTCCATCTGCCTCAGCCTTCGCTGCTCAAAAAGCTTCTTCTTCTTCTTCTTCTGGTTTTCTTTAACCTAATTAAAGGATTTTCTTATGGATTGTAATCATGCTTAGTAGGAACCGTTGTTGGGCTTGTTTAATCGATCCAGGAAAAATGAAACCCTAATATTATAATCCATTAAAAGATTGATGCGACAAAATAAAGAAAAGCTTACCGGATTTGAAAATGGCGCTTTCAAAACACAACATTCTTGGCAGGCATTTGCCAATATCATTGAGGTCGTAAGATTTAAAAGAAATTATTGTCGTTCTCCGGCTGTTTGAATTTGGATCGAACTGTTGTTGATTCAAACAAAAAATAAATGTTCTTCCAAGTGGAAGGAAGCCCACTCACTTTTTCTTCAATTTTTTAATAAAAAGAATTATTAAGAGTATAGACCACTTGAATTGATTTAAATTAAATTAATTTTTAAGACTAAATTGAAATTTTTAGTTAAAAAAAAAAACTTATTAATATATATGGTTCATAAAAGAAATTTCAACTGAGGTCAAAGTCTCAGTGTTTTATAATTTGTTCTTAGAGTGTGGAAACCTCTCCCTAGTAGATGCGTTTTAAAATCGTGAGGTTGATAGAAACGAGTTAAAACGAATAATATTTACTAGCAGTAGACTTGAATGGTTACATATTAATTTAAGTTGTTATTTTAATAAATAGATAAGAGAAAAGGTAGTGGAAAGAATAATAGGTTGTATGAAACTTTTAATATAAACTTGTTATTCAAAGAGACATGACCCTTAAATTTGGGATATACATTATGCTTTTATGGAAAGAATAACTGTCACATGCTTCAAGATTTTATTTTCAAATCACCCTCTCACATGTTGAGATGTACTTTTTATTTATTTATTATTTTTTTTAATCTTCATTCATTATAAAATTAAAGATAATTTATTATAATCCCTAAATTAGTTGCATTCATGCCTTAGATTTCCTCTAAATTTAAATTTATTATCAATTTTATTTATTAATATTAAAAAAAATCTAAAAAAATATTCATTCTATTGGTCAGAATTTTGTTTAAAATATATCTTACCATTAATTTGGATCGTGCAATATTGGTCGACCAATATATTAGAGGTTTAAATGTTGTAGATGAAGAAGATGAAGAAGTTTGATTGGTCAAAGCCGTAGAAACAATATGAAGAATGGAGGCATGTGAGGGTTAGGTATTGCAAGAGGAATGAGATGCAACAAATATAAATATCTTCCCTTTTTCTGGTGCACAAAACAATAACAAATGAGTGGGTACCGGTTTTCTCCTAAACCCTAAACCCTAAACCGAACAAAATAAAAACATGTGAACCGAACACCGAACAAAATAAAAGAGCTACTCAACAGTTCTTCAACGTGACAAGCTCTCCGGAAGTTTTGAATTTGATTGAATGTTTGTTTTTTTCCAAAAATATTTTTCTTGTTTTGTTTTTCAAATGAAAAGCATTAATTGTGTAATTTGTCTGTCACATCCGTATGTAGTAGATCCATATGTGGTTCATAAGGAAATGGTTGATATCGATCTTTTTTGAGTGAGAGTGAAATGTGCCAGCAAAATACGAGTTAGTAGCACCGAAGTGGTTCTAAATCACGTGCACTCTAATACTATATAAAGTTTGGAGCGTAAGTTCTATTTCATTACCATTTTCATGATTTCAAAAGGGAAATTAAAGCCCTTTTTGAAATTATTAAGAGAGAGCTTCCCAAATGATGAAAATGTGGAATATTCCATGTGGCCCTTCACTTTCATGTATAATTGTCCCTTGGGTAGTAGGGTAGCTCAACATGGCCTTGTATTTCAGTGGTTGACTTGTCAAAATGCACCCTTTTTCAATCTTGAATTGCCCTCCCACCTAAGACTTTAAATGAAAATGAATTCCCTTCAATTTTTAGATGCTTCCTTTGTCTCCTCCCCTTTTAAGGTTGTCCACGTGCCCGGTTCTCAATCTGTCTAACCTCTTAGCTGATAACGTATACCATAATCAATTGAACTATATTCAAGTTGCATATTCTTGACAATTTGGCATTTTTTACTATACATTATGATCATTTGCATCACTCCATTGTGACATGTGCCCTGTTCTCAGTCTGACCTCTTAGCCGATAACATATATCATAATCAATTGAACTATACTCGATTTGAGTAATTTTTTTTTGGATGAAGGGATGTTTGTTTGTTCATAGACACATGGAAATCCACCTCTTCGTTGGATATACAAAAGAGCAAAAGCGAAGCAATGAAATGAAGTTATTAAGGTAATCCTATATAGAAAAGAAACTATCTTATACAGCTGCTACTCGCAATAAATTAACAAGACAATGATCCCAATCTTCTCATTTTCCACAGACCCATTTAATGAAGCAGCAGCAGCAATGACAGAGAGCCCAACAAATCACACAGATGGGAAATATTTGTTCAAATTGAAGGGCAGAGAGTAGAACTCTTCGCTCCTCGTATCGCCCTTGAACGATTTGAACTTAGCCCACCAGTGTTTGCCACGGTCTTTCTTGATCGCGTCGCCCTTTTTGTGCAGTGTGTTGTCCAGAAAATATGCAATGATTCCAGCAACGAATGGCTCGGAAGAGAACGGGACATTGACCATGTCGTTGAACTGCAGAGAAAGAAAAGAGCGAGTGTTGCCGTAAGAATTAACATGTGTGGTGTAGAGCGGTGTAGAGCTCGTAAAAAAACGAGGGGAAGTCCCTTCTTACCCATCTTGCATTTGTGTGGACTGGACCAAAGCCATTAATGGCAGTGTACTCATTGAAGTATTGTGGCACAGAGAGTCCCAGGAAGATGGAGAATCCTAATATGAACTTTGTTCTGAAGCTGTTGAGGTTGCAGAATTGGAGGTAGCTTAAACCTCCCATGCCTGCAAACAAAATGAATCAGTTTCCGACCAAGATAACTCGAAACTTATAACTCTGGTTATCGACCAGTTTACTCGAGACAGATGCATACCGACATAAGCGAAGAAAATACAGTAAAGAGCTGCAACAATGGGGGCTGGAATGGATGCAAAGACAGCTCCAAATTTCCCTGCAAGCCCACAGATGAAAAGAACAGATAAACAACGATTTTAGCAGCCCAACTCATGAGTTCAATGCAACAACTCAAACCCACTACTAGCAGATATTGTCCTCTACAGGCTTTCCCTCAACATTTTAGAACGCATTTGTTAGGGAGAGGTTTCCACACCTTTATAAGGAATGCTTCGTTCCCCTCTCCAACCGATGTGGGATCTCACAATCCACCCCCTTGGGGTCCTAGCATCCTCGCTGGCACATAGCTCAGTGTCTGGCTCTAGTACCATTTGTAACAGCCCAAACCCACCACTAGCAAATATTATCTTCTTTGGGCTTTCCCCTCAAGGTTTTAGAACACGTCTATTAGGGAGAGGTTTTCACACCCTCATAAAGAATGCTTCGTTTCCCTCTCCAACCAATAGAGTGCACTTATATATGTGTCATATCAGAAACTTACCAAGAATGGAGAAGAAAATCATGAATCCAGCGGAAATTTGTACAACCCTTCGACTTCCAACACGGGTCAAGGCCAGGAGACCAGCATTTTCACTGAATACAAAAAGTAAGAGAAAATCTTAACGGGACGAAAACAACTTCTGTACTTATCGAAGTAGACTGTTGAAGGCAGCAAAATTTTCTGTTAAACTCTTACACGGACACCGAGGATCCATTCACAGTTCCAAACAGCCCAGAAAGTAGAATTCCAACTCCCTGCAGAAACAATTGCACAATAAGTTGAAGGGGCCAAATGTGATACTAGTCATACAAAAGGCATAATAGCGCATATCAAGGCTTAATAGGATCCCATCCACCTCTTCAATCATCTTAAACGCCTTTGTTCGAAATTATTCGTTTGTTAATGAAATTATGCCGTCTCCCTAAGCTATCTTCGAGTGGCCAAAGCCTCTCGAAAGACTAGTGGAGGTATGCCACAAGTATAATGAAAGGAGTAGTGCCCCTAATACTCGATTATCTTTGAAAAAGATTAGTATTTGTGTCAGGGACGAGCTTGATGACGATGATATAGTGTTCGTCTACTCGCAACATCCCTATTACATCGTCAACCTTCATCTTTCTGGCTGTCCTTAAATACTACCAATATGTAAGAAAAGAACTGAAAATAGATCAACTCTTGGACCGCCATGAAACTTCGAGTCACATAGATGTGAAAGCACCTCACTCTCTATAAGAACAGTCCATTCACGGGGAGGTACGTAATGAAATGAATTAATCAAGATTAGAATACGAGACAAGCTATATCTATAGAAGACTATCATAGAACATAGAAGAGATCGGTCCGATTGTTGGAACTGGGTTGGAACGCCACGTGGCTCGATTTATATTACATAGATAAGCTAGTTTTACATTACCTGCCAACCAACACCACGGCTGAGAATCGAGGGTGGAAGCTGAGTGGCACTTGCATATCTGGACGCAGCAATAAAAGCACCAGAGGACTGAAATTGACATGAGCAGAGAAAAAAAAAGGATCACTTCGAGGAATGAATAGTATTGAATTTACGTATACAAAAGTATTGTCAATTATAACAAAACTACCTTTCAGTTTTCGAAGACATCGAAAATTTTAAAAACCAGAAAACTAAAGACATAGACGATGAAGAAAACAGGAACTGGATGAATTCATGGGTCAGTAAACAGAGCGATCGTTGAATCGGGAAAATGAAAACAACCTCGACTAAAGCAACGAACGACGCCATCATCATGGCAAAGGCTTCACCGGCATCAAATGAAGGTGCCCCCCATTGAAACGGATATGGAAGTCTTATCCTACAAATGTAAATTCCAAGCTAAGTATATTGTTGATCCCATCAATGAACTAATGATAATGGCACACAACTAGGAAAAGTTAAGTTTTCGACTCTTGAGCAAAAATCCAGTGCAATGATGGAATGGTACGGCAAGAACTTCATGCTCCATATATCGATTTTAGCAAGTCAAAACTCACCATGGAGCATTATCTATAAGCCCCGAGCGGTCGGTTCGGCAACTTAGTTGTGTTTTAGGTGGTGAGCCTTTGTAAGCCCCTCCTACGGTTAGTAGGTGAGCATAAATCCAAACTATCACCACACAGAAAATGACTGCAAAACGATCGAATATGTGTTTGCCAGATTTGATCACGTGAGGCAAATACTGCACAAAAAGCATACGAAGTTTATAGCAAAAAAAGATGACTTTACAGAAAGTGTCAATAGAGGGGGAAGAAAGGTAATGATATCTTCTTTGTAAGAGAATCTAACTCGAAAGAGAACACTGAATATGCCTTGCTTGAACGAAATACCTGTGAAACAAACACCAAAAGGACAAGCTCTGGCAGTCCAATTTCCACACATTTGGCAACCTAACATCCGAGGCGAACGTCAGATTTCTTGTAGTGAAAAAGAACTCAAATATGTAATTTTGAAAACGAAAAGAACAGAGAAAGAAACTTACCCCGGGGAAACCCAACTCGAAAAGCCCAAAGCCAACAAGAGAAACCAACGGCACAGCTGAAAGTGGGCTAAGAAACCTGAAAAATGGAAACAGTGAACAACATGAAGCTCGAGACTTCCAAAGGGGACAGGTCACGAATAAAAATGTTCCGATAATTATAGAATCTTCAAGGGAAAATTGTAACGTATCATTATTAAGAAGAGCTCTATCTCAAATGCAAATTCAATCTAACAATAGCTTAATAACTTCGAAAAATGAAAAAATTTGTGAGTTAAGTTCTTGTGCCAGCAACTCGTAAACTTAATGACTTGAGTGTTTCGTGCTTGTCTACAGTATCCTTCATAGTGTAGACCGAACCAACCTTGCAACATTGCGCCACAGACCGCTAAAGCCCAGCACAATCTGAAGGGTTGATGCAACAATGAGCGCACCCTGGATTGCCCGCATTATCTTCTTGAATTTCTGAATGAAGCAGCAAAGCAACGTCAATGACCTCATACGAAACAAGCAATTATTTGTCATGTAAGCGGTTATGATCCTCTATTCTGATAGTATATGTTATAACTAGTGAAGAAAGCTTTCATTAATTAAAATTAGTCATTGATAGAAACAAATGAGCATTTCTCTTTCAGCATGAAGCCCTGCACTAGCCATTCATCAGATTGACCTATACGCAATTCAGTTAAAACCGAGAAGGATTTAGTTTACATTACATCAATAGGATCAGCTGTATCAGAAAATCGACCGGCAAGGATGATTGAAATGGTCGTTGGTACAAAGGTATACGACCCTCCAATCACAGCGGGTAATCGAGTTCCAAAGAACGATTGTAGCAACGTGTTCAAACCAGCAACAAAGAGCAAGGTTTGGATAACCTTTGCCTTCTCCTCCTATAAGAATAATGAGTTACAGTCACATGATTATAAGGACCTTCAAATATTGATGTACAACAAAAATTAATATAATTCAAAAGCTTCAGGCCTCACAAATCCACCACCCATCTGAGGAACAAGAGAAGAAGGAATAAGAACGGTCGTGCCTAACATCACCAGATAATGTTGAAAACCGAGAAGTATAGCTTCCGCTGCATCAAGGAAAAAAATTAAGAACAAAATGTATGAGGTACATGGTGGTACTAAATGAAAAAACAACCAGAATCCATAGAAATGTGAAAAAATAGAACGATCAACCCGTGAAACGCAATAAATAACTCGATTGATATGCTCAAAACTGGATTTCAGTACCCATTTGAAGTATGGTTAAAACAAAAAAGGGGAAAAACAATGGCCAAAAACAACATTTGTGTAAAAGATGTGAGCATAGAAATGGCTAGCTGCTTTCTGATCTCAGATTCGACCACGGAGAAATAAAAATATGATATCCAAACAGCAAAATCTAACAAAACATAGAGGAAAACAGTTACTTCCAGCAATTAATACACAGTGGTGTGTTCAACAATTGGAAAGTTTTGTTGCAGTAGGCTGTTCCTTCTTTTGTTTTAATGCAATCTCGTTTCTTATCAAGAAACTACAAGAACTGAAAATAGCTTAACCAGATTCGGAAGAATCGAACTCAAACTAAGTTCATTATGGGTAAAACAAGGCGAATGTTCTGAAAGATGCAAAAAGGAAAAACTCACGCCATGGTGGTGGACTAGTGATGCAGTAAGCAACGTTGGGTAGCTGATCCTTGGGTGGATGAGCCTGTGGTTCCTCTACTTTAGCACCTCCGGCCATGGTTCACTCTACAGCTTTCTCTGCTTGAAACAGCCCTTTCTTTCGTTCCCAGAAACAAAAATTTGCTAGAATCTGTACAAGAAACTCAAATCTAAGCAAAACCCACCTCCCAAATCGTCCAAAAACAAACCCCCAGATGAGGGAAATGCGCTAATCTTAGATGACGGCACGCAAATGTGTGAACAGAACAGAGAAAACAGTCAAAAACATGAGGACCCAGAAGCGTAAAACACTCACATGCACCTCCACAAGAATACTAGGTGGAAAAGTTATAGATGGGACTCCACACAATAAAATAAACAGCACAGAAACGATAAGGTAGCCATGGCCGGTAAATAAAATGGAAAAGAAAAACATCAATTCTAGTAATTACCCACAAATAAAATTACAAAAAAGATGTGTAAAAGTACCTTTTAACAATCTTTCAGAAGCAAAATCAAGTGGGAAAGCTTTAAAGTCAATACACCATTAACCCCACACCCTAAAGTTCACTGAAAAAGTTGGAAATGGAGGGGGGAAAACCCCAAAAAATAGGTTGAAGCAAAAGAACAGTCCCAGAACTGAACCAGCAGCAGCAGCAGCAGCAGCAGCTTAAGAGTTAGCTATGCTGTGATTGTGAAGCAGGTATGAAAGATGGGATGATACGATAAACAAAAAAGAAACTGCATATACACTGGGGTAGCTGCAAAGTGGCTTTTTCCACCTTCCTCTCTCTCTCTCTCTAACTTTCTCTCTCAAGAAATTCCACCATTTCTACACACCCTTTTGGCATGTTCTCCCAGATTTAGTAAATTCATGTCTTAAGAACAGTCATTAGAGCAACTTACTTCCATCGCTGTTTCCACTTTAATATGCATCTGATTCACCAGCACGCCATAAACAAATTCAATTAATCTAACGCCCAAAACGACGTCGTTGCTTAAACGTCCAAAACCACGACGTTTTAAAGGAATCCAAAACGACGTCGGTTGCTGAACTAAAGAGATTAGGCTTTTCATCAATTATATATAAAATATCTCTCAACTTTATAAAATTATAATATTCTCAAAAAAAAATTAAAAAATATTAATTTATCATAATGTTATACCAAAAAAAATATCATTAGTTTATATTAAAAATTTGAAAAAAAATTCAAATATAATTCTCTTCTCATTTAATATCCTATGAAAATTTTAAAGGTAATATTATGATATAAGTATTTTTTATTTTTCAAACATATAATAAATATATTGCCAATCGCTCTCTACGGGATTCCCGAACACGCAGAAGAAAGAAGGTCAGTGTATTACAAAAGGACGGTAATGCCCTTGGATGGATGTAGGGTTGATACCCTGACGAATGCAAATAATTGAAAGGGTAATTTGGACATTGGGAGAGTGGGGATCACGTGCGAGGTGTAACAAAGGAATATCGGGCGGGCCTGGAGTCGGGGCACCCGAATCCACAAAAGCCAGCGTTGAAGAGAAAGAACCCGCCGACAAAATTCCCACATCCCTATTCTTCCAAAATTTTATAATCCAATATAAATAAATAAAAAGTCGAATATACTTTTATTATCATTAAATTATATAAATCCAACAATTAATAACTAACTCCCTAATCAGCATGTGGGATTATATTTTAGGCTAAATTATAGTTTCATCCCTACGTTTATAAATTTTATAATTTATTTACTATTTTACTATTATCTTTTTATTTTTTTATTTTTAAATTAATTCATATGGGATAAAAAAAAACAAAAAATAAATAATTTTATTAGCCATAACAAATAAAAGAGTAAATATATACACGAAACGTATCTTGTCAAACAACTGGCAATGGCCTTCGATTTTGGCCTTTTGTCCATCGCGTTATAATATTTATTTTTTTATTTTATTTTTTTATTTTATTTTATTACCATGCTTTTACCCGCACCCAATCTTTCCTCTTCCACCTAATTACCTTTTTTAATTCTAAATTTTTTAAAAATATACTACTTTTAAATTCTTCTACTCCATATGCTCATATGTATGGATTATTTTTCTTGATGTATTTTATTAAATTAGATCTCACATCTTACACTAGCTTGAAAATATTTTTTTAATAGGCGCGTTTTAAAATCTTGAGCTAAGCTCGAAAGTAAAATTCAAAAGAAGAATATTATGAATCTCAACCATTCGCCAATATCCCATTAAAAAATAATAATGCAAACATTGATGAAAAGCTCACTGTGGTTACGTGTAGATATATCGTACCAACTTTATTAAACTATACATTTCTCCGATATATGGTTAGAATATGTTTTTTTTTAAATCGTGAATAAGATTTATTTTTATTTTAATTTTTTTAAAACTAAAAAAATGTTCAAAGGAGGTAAGTAATTTATATATACATTTGTTTGGTAGAATAATTTGGAATTAATATTTTAGTTGTAGAGAGAAAAAGTAGTTGAATTATGAAGGTTGTCTGCATTGGAAGCATTTATGAAGTGATCAACCAACCTTTTAATTAGTGTAATTAATTTAATTTATATAGAAAAAATAAAACAAAATAGTGAAAATATGACACGTGCGAACTTCACATTTGGCTGGAGGGACCATAGGAGAAATAAAGACAAGAGTAGGACTAAAAAGCAATTGGAATAATGTCTTCCCTTTTATATTTATTATCCTTTTGCCATATTCCTCTCCTCTTTTTTTTTTTTTTTTAATTTCTAATTTAACTCATTAATTGTTTTTTTAAGATTAAATTAATTAAATTTGAATGGGGTGATTTATAATTGTTTTTGAAGAAAGAAGGGTGGAGTAGCAAATAATTTTCCAACGCCCACATGATTGTTTGAATTATGGGAGGTTGAAAATTAATATTGATTAAACAGAAATTAATATTAAAAAGACAAATTGAATGGTCCACAAACCACATTTGTCATTACGCGTGTAAAAGCCTCCCCTAAGAATATGCATATCCCCTTTTACTTTCTCCTTTTTTTTCTTTTTTTTTTCTTTATTATTTTCTGGCCCACTTGGGGCCCACCCAACTTTCTAATTATTTCTAAATTTATTTTACTTTATCAACTTTAAATCAAATCACATCTTAATTATGGGATTAAGATTTGCAAAATTTAATCTCTTTTAATTTCTGAATTTATTTAATTTTATTTAAGGAAGACATGTTTTAAAGCCTTGAGAGAAAGCTCGAAAGAAAAAGCATACCCATGTAATTTATTTATAAATAAAAAAATAAATAAATAAAAAGAGGTTGGAGTGGAAGTAGCTGGGACCACCATACTTTTGCAAATTCTGTGCCTCTTTTTCTTCTTTTCCCTTTTTGCCCTTTTTGTAATCCAAAACCTCATTCTTTTGCCTTTGGGATATACCCTAATTTATAGGGTTTTCAAAGAATCCACCCTTCGTTCCCTTTATTTATTTATATATATGTATATTCTTCAACATTCTCAAACGTTATCTTAAAAACAATCCTTTTTGGTTAAGACTATATCCCTTTATCACTGTTTTATTAAAGTTCGTGTATCTCGATTCGTTTTATGTTTTTGGTTTTCGATTTTTCGAAAATAGAACTTTCTACAAAATTCATGTTTCTCGTGTTCTTGTTTTTAATTTCCCCAAATTACAAATAAAAGTGTTAATTTATGATTTTTCACTTACAAAATTGTACAATAAATTATTAAATTTTTTATTTAAAATATAACAAAAAATTATTATTGTAAGTGGATAATAAATAGACAGGTCCAATGAGTTTCTCTATTGGGCCTACATTAAATAAGAAGAAAAGCCCACTACCTATATCGGGCCCTTATTAGTAATTTGATCAAAGTCCATTTATAAGAACAATGGGCCATTAGGTCCAACGCCGACACTCATTTTGGGCTTGATGGATCTAGGCAATTCAGAACAATTTGGGCTTGGATATGTGAAAAGGCCCACTAGTTCTGAATTAATTAATTTAAAATTTAGTTTGATTTTTAATATTTGTGAGAAAATAAATAAATAAATAAAACCTGTGGTGTTTTACGTACCGCGTTCAGTTCTCAAATTCTCTCGCACTACGCACTCCCGCGTCACCGCTGCTATCTCGTCGCCGTTTACTCGCCGGAACCCAGATCGTTGCCGCTTTCTGGGTCCAAGCCTTGTTTTTGCAGTTCATAATATATCATCCCTTCTGGGTACAGTCCGTCGAACTGTAATAAGACTACGAACTTCAGAATCGGAGGTGAGTGAATCGGAGCCTTCGCCGTCATTTTGGGACAGACGTTGTTTTCTTTTCTTCGCTATCTCCTTCTCAGTTGTTGCTGCTCCCCGGCACGGCCCCATCGGAAGTTTAATTTTCGTTACTATCTCCATTTAGTCTGTAACCAGACGCCGCCTCACGCCAGTCTTCTTCGGCAGCCCCTCATTGTTTGGTCTCGTTGACCACGTATGCCCATTAACAAATATAGAAAAAAATTCTTCTCGTTGTCCAAGTTTGAAATCTGGTCTGATTTGAAATCTTTTTAAAATCTGGGGTTTCAAGCAGAGGGAAAAGAATTTTGTAGAAAATTGAATTGAACCAAACCAAATTTATGTCCAGCACTTATTGTTAGGGTTTCAGAAAGCTTAAATCTAAAGATGGTATTTCATTTTCAGATTATGTATTTTTAATGTTTTTGGATTGTCTGTAAACTCACTGTTTTAGTCTCTGAATTCAAGCAGCATTGGTGCAGCATGCTTCTGACACGAATATTTGGGCGGACATTTCTAGCTGCTGCTAGATCAGAAACTTCTGCTGCTACAGCTGCTGCTGGCTCTACAGCTAGGACAGGGTACAATCCGCTCGAGGAGTTTTTTGAGGCACATAGAAGTCCAGACGATGACAAACCTGTTGTATATGGTATATTCTTATATTTCCATTGAGCTTTGGCCTTTGTTATTAACCATCAATAAATTTGTATTTTGGTTCATTCAATTCGCAAAAATTTGCCTCAATATACTTTTTGTTGGGGATGAAAATATATACCTGGGTGTCTGGTCGGATATAGTGGAATTTGAACTTCAAGTCGTGGAGGGTCTACTCACTCATGGGAATGAATACAAATTGTTTAGATACAGCCACAACGCTACAAGAAAATACCTTCCTTGTTGTGCATGGAGTCTGAAGGCATCTTTTAAGAAAACAAGATTAGAAGTGGCCATGGACTACCCAGTACTTAGTCAAAGTTTAAATAATTGGTCGCTGGGGACTCTGGATTCAGCTTCATTGATAAAACATAAAAAACATATATATTGAGTTTCATGGTAGAATTCTCCTTCTTTGTTTTCTTTGAAAACGTGGTTGTTTGTAGAATTACCCGATTCGTTACAAAGTGAAATTAGGAGCCAGGACTTTAAACAGATGTCGGCTGCCATGATCATGTCTGATTTATCTACTTAGCTTCTATACCTTTTGGCTGTCACAGCATTCTTATTGCTGAAACTATGTAATGTGTGCCATATGATCGACCGTTGAAAATTTTATGTGGAGTTTTGAAATTTTTACAAATTGCTCTCAGTGTGGTTGCGCACCAGATACAAGTGTTATGTTCATATTCTAGCATGGTGTCTGTTCATTCAGTTACTCTCTTAGTACAAATTTGAATGCTTCCTCTTTGTCAAGAGGCTTTTGTTTAAGGATTTTAGATGCTTACTTTCCTCATCTCAATTCTCAGACTTGATCTTTGCACAAAGTTGCTATATATATATATATATATATTATATATATATATATAGGCCCTACTTCAAAGGAATAACGATGTCTTTTAAAAGTTAAAACAATAGGAATATCCCTAAAATTGTTTGACTCCATTACTATAGGCTTGATACTTTTGTATCTTATGAGTTTCGTGATATATAACTCTGTATGGTTAGCTCGTGGACGTACGGTTTGTTCTGGATGCTTGCAAACAGAAATGTCCCTTGCTTGGTAATTTTCTTCAGTATGTGACTGATTGAAATTTATAGTAAAGATAAACAATTGTGGGTTAAAAGACAAAACTCACTTTTCTTGAACAATGGAAGGCAAGAAAAGGCCCTTGATGAGAATTTAGTAGTTAGAACAAGTGGGTCCACTAGAATCTCATGCCTGAGATCTTGGGCTTTCTTCAAAACACAATATTGAGATTCTCATTGCAATGTCTATGCTGTCAGGTCGAAGTTGGAAGGCTTCAGAACTGCGGCTCAAGTCTTGGGACGATCTTAACAAGTTATGGTATGTCCTGTTGAAGGAGAAAAATATGTTGATGACACAGCGGCAGATGCTTAACGCACAAAATCTAAGGTTTCCTAATCCAGAACGCATTCCCAAGGTAAATAGAGGCGCAATATGCTTTCTATGTTTTGTTATATTTGTTCCCTTAGAACTGTTAATAGCTATATCGTTTAACTACTTCTCTAGTCTAATATCGACGTTGGTTGCTGATGATCGTAATTTAGGTGAGGAAATCAATGTGTCGAATCAAACAGGTACTTACCGAGAGAGCCATCGATGAACCAGATCCTCGGAGATGCGCAGAGTTGAAGAGGATGGTAAATGCCCTTTGATAATAAGCTAATCAATGATTCGAACCCAGCCTTGTACGTGGTGGTGTTCGCCGTCCCGGTAACAAAGGGAGGAAGTCGGGCGTCTATCAATTGAGTTGATTATGTAATCGAGGATCTCGTTAGGACTCTAATCTAGTTTTAAAAGACAGATATTGGAAGTTTTGGAGATAGTTATGAATTGTGGGAACATCATGATGGACAAGATTATTGTAGAAGATTTAGATGTGATGTGTGTGCTGAAAATGAAAGAGTTGACAAAGAAAAAAGGGTAAATAATGATGGTTTGATGTTGTTGTGTTGGGTAAATGAGAGAATGTTGATTAGACTTGCTCTGCTTTTCTATTAGCTTCTTAATCAAGATTGTTTATGTTCATGAGGGACCTTTCTTTCTCCTCTTCTTCTTCAAGATTTGCCACGTGGTGCACTCTTATTGGAGCGATGTACTCAAACCTCACTCAGGAAATTTTACATTAGATGCCTTTTGGCGACAGACAGAGAGGGTCGAGCGTCACCGACTGGGTAACCCAATCACCCCTTGGAAGAGAATGCCCGTATGGGGAAGGGGTTGTGGGACCCATACAATGACGAAATCAGGCAGCTAAGGCCCTTGGATTGAATGTCAGAGCCTAGTAATTAAAATCAAAAGTCAAATTTTAAATTTTTTTTTTTTTATAATAAAAAAGAGCATTTTGGGGCACGTTGTACCAGGTCAGTTGGGGCTGTGGGGGGAGTTGCATCACCGCCATGTCTATTTATCATTTACTCACCCAAATTGCCCGATCTGCCCGGGACTGCCCGGTCTCGGCTCCCTACCAAGTACCAAGTACACATTTCCTTTCTGCCTTCTGTTTTTCTCTTTCGTTCTTTTTTTTTTTTCCCCCTACTCCTCTCCCTCATTATCCCCCGTTCTATGTGCGCATTCGTTTTTCTCTCTCTAGATTCTCGCACTCTTCTCTCTCTCTCTCTCTCTCTTTCTTTCTAGGTTGAAAGGCGGCTCGAAATCTTTAATCGTCTTCTTCTTGCGCCTGCTTGGATCGGGACCTTAATTGGATCAGTCTTGGTTAGATAAGGTAAACCCTAGAATCGTATTTATTGGTACGCCGGTGTGGGATTTCCAAATCCCTCTTTCCTCTATCGGGACATGATACCAGGGCAGCGTTTTGTATTGATCTAGGGTTTCTCGGTAAGCGGATAGTTTTGAATTGCCTTTCGTCTGATGAATTAGGGTTAGGATTGATGGTACTCGTTCGGCGTGAAGGTGGGATCGAGGTTGGAATTGGGGAAAATGCAAGGCTATGCATGGGCGTCGAGGTGAGAACTGGAAACGGAGTCGGCACATGTGGACAGTCCCCACACGCGGTACCCAGATCGTAGAAGCAGATGGTTCTTCGTCATCGTCTTCATCTGCACCTACTTCGTTTTGCAAGGTAATGTTTTCTGTTTCTTTGTCCCGATTGTCCTTTTTTAAGGTATTCCCTTTGTGGTTCAGCTTTCTTTGTGCTTTTGTTTTAGCTCGTGCTGGCAAACAAAGCATTCGCTGTTGTAGGGAAATGAAAAGGTTGAAGAAATTGCTGGTTGCGTAAATGTTGGAGGGAGGAATTGTTTTTAGTTCTAATGTTCATTCTTTCTCTATGGAGGAATTTAGTAAAATGTCTCTGAAGCCCTGGGTGCGGCATGGATTTTTTTTTAATTTAAATTTTTGTGGATCTTGGCACTCGATGAGCGGTCTGGAGGCTTCAGAAACAGTCTCATGATTATTACAAAAAAATATGTAACTGATTTTCTGCTCGGCATTACCGAATGCGAATGTAGATTCTTTGTCTTTAGGACGGGGCGTTAATTCATTGAAACTAGCCAATTTTTTTTTTTCCCTTCCAACCGATGGATGTTTTGCCATCGACCCATCTGTTTTAGGTTTGATGCTAATCCCAAGGCATATTTGCTTCACCAGGGGCAGGATGTTCATGATCTTAACTTCAGCTGTTTCTTATTACCTTTTTTATTTTGAGAAATGGGTTTGTATATGGTGATCGAATAAGACATCTTATTGACTAGTTTGAATCAAGAAGCAATTCAATGTGTTTCAACAAACATTTTCTCTTAAAATATTGTTTGGACATGTATTAGATGATATAATTGAATCCACGTATGCTGATATATGGGAATTGTTCTCATGAGGAAAACATTGCTGTTTTTTATACTTAAAAGGTGCAAGCTTTTTCCCCTCATGGGTTTTTTTTGGGAGCTGGGAAGGAATACATCATGTGCTATAATATTATGTAGCTTCCTCTAGTCTTGCTTGCTATTTCCAATATTTTAGTTACCCTTAAAATTTCAAATGTCTATTGGCAGGCACATCTTTTTGATGACTCACTATTCTCTACTATCCTTGAACAGGGTGGACGTAGGATTAGTGTTGGTGATTGTGCTCTTTTCAAACCCCCCAAAGACTCCCCACCTTTTATTGGCATAATCCGGTGGTTGACTACTGGTAAGGAGAATAAATTGAAGTTGGGTGTGAATTGGCTTTATCGATCTTCTGAATTAAAGCTCGGCAAAGGCATCCTTTTGGAAGCTGCGCCCAACGAAGTGTTCTATTCCTTTCACAAGGATGAAATTCCTGCTGCATCTTTACTCCACCCGTGTAAAGTTGCATTCCTTCCTAAGGACATCAAACTTCCATCAGGAATTTCGTCATTTGTGTGCCGGAGAGTGTATGACATAAGGAATAAGTGTTTACGGTGGCTAACTGATCAGGATTATATTAATGTAAGCTCCTGATGCTTTATTCATTATTCTCTATTAGTTGGTGTGATATTAGGTTAATTGTATTTGTTTTATTAGGAACATCGGGAAGAAGTGGATCAATTATTAGACAAGACGAGGTTAGAAATGCATGCTTCAGTCCAACCTGGTGGCCGATCACCTAAGCGTACTAGTGGTCCAACATCAACATCTCAGTTAAAAGCTAATTCAGATAGTGTTCAAGCCGCCTTTCCTTCTCACACGAAAGGCAAGAAAAGAGAGAGGAGTGACCAGGGATTAGAATCTGTTAAACATGAACGCATCGTAAAAGCTGATGAAGGGGATTCTGCTAACTGCAGATTGGAAAATACTTTAAAGTTTGAGATCACAAAAATTGCTGAAAAAGGGAGCTTAGTTGATTCTGAAGCTGTCGAGAAATTGGTGCAGCTTATGCTGTCTGATAGTGACAAAAAAATTGATTTGGCTGGCAGATCAGCACTTGCAGGTGTGATAGCTGCCACAGATAAGGTTGAGTGCCTTAATCAGTTTGTACATCTTAAGGGTTTACCTGTGCTTGATGAATGGCTCCAAGAGGTTCACAAGGGAAAAATTGGCAGTGGCGGTAGCCCCAAGGATAGCGATAAAGCAGTTGAGGAATTTCTACTGATTTTGCTTCGAGCCCTTGATAAACTACCTGTAAATCTTCCTGCTTTGCAGATGTGCCATATTGGAAAGTCTGTGAATCATTTACGCTCACATAAGAACTTGGAAATTCAGAAGAAAGCAAGGAGCTTAGTGGACACATGGAAAAAACGTGTTGAAGCTGAAATGAACATTAATGATGCAAAGTCTGGTTCAAACCAAGCTGTTGCATGGAGTGCAAGAACTCGATCATCTGAAGTTGCTCATGGTGGGAGGAACCAAGATGCATCCTCTGAAGTTGCCATGAAGAGCTCAGTTTCTCAGCTTTCTACATCCAAATCTGCTTCAGTTAAGCTTGCTCAGGATGATAGTGTTACAAGATCTGCATCTGCCTCTCCTGGTTCTATGAAACCAGTTTTATCACCCGCATCAGCAAGTATTAACTCGAAAGATGGATCATCCAGAAATCCTGGTGTTTGTGGCACAGCTGATCTTTCTCAAACTATTGCCAGGGATGAAAAGAGTAGCAGTTCCAGTCAGTCCCATAATAATAGTCAATCTTGTTCTAGTGAACATGGTAAAAGTGGTGGTTTAGGGAAGGAGGATGCCAGAAGCTCTACTGCTGGTTCAATGAGTGTGAATAAGATCTCAGGTGGTGGATCTCGACAGCGCAAATCAGTCAATGGATTTCCTAGCACTGTTCTCTCTGGGGCTCAACGAGATGTAGGGTCAGGAAAAAGTTCTTTGCACCGAAACACAGTTTTAGAGAGATCATCTCAATCGGGAACAACCTTTGAAAAGGCATCTGATGGACCTATTGGTGAGGGAAACAGTCCTAAATTGATAGTAAAGATCACCAATCGAGGCCGGAGTCCTGCACACAGTGTTAGTGGTGGATCGTTTGAAGATCCTTCAATAATGAATAGCAGGGCTTCTTCTCCTCCACTTTCAGAGAAGCATGATCAATTTGATCACAGTAAGAGTGATACCTGTCAGCCTAATATTACTGGAGATGTGAATGTCGGGCCCTGGCAGAATAGTGATGTAAAGGATATGGTGACCGGCTCTGATGATGGCGATGGATCTCCTGCTGCTGTACATGGTGAGGATCGATGTCAGGCTGTCAAGGACATAAAAGTTTCAAGGGCGAATGATCATAAAAATGGGAAGTTACATGAAGCTTCTTTGAGCTCCATAAATGCTTTAATTGAGAGTTGTATTAAATGCTCCGAAGCTAATATGCCTACCTCACTCATGGATAATGTTGGAATGAATTTACTTGCTAGTGTAGCTGCCGTTGAGATGTCAAAGTCTGATTTTGTTTTGCCTTCTGATACACAAGGAAATATCTCTGCAGTTGACCGAACCTCCAGAAGCAGTGATTGTAAAGTTAAAGCATCTTATCCTGAAGAGGATGCTAGAGATAACATCCAGTCGAATGATGCTATGGATGTTTCTGAGCAGGGCGTGATCACTACTTCTTTTGGAGCTAAAATTGTGGATGGAAGGTGTGCTTCACAATCTGAAGAGAAACCTGTTGGAGATTTGAGTGGTCATTCAAAATCATCTGGTGTAAATTTGCAACCAACTGCTGTGCCATTTCCAGATGGTTGTATAAAAATGAACGAGGCTGGAGGGCCTATCTCTCCTTCTAGGATGCCAGAGAAGGGCTCTGAGATGGAGGGGGCTAAACCAGTTGAAGACAGTAAGGCAGCTGATGTAGTTGATGGAGATAGCAGTTCTAAATCTAAACCTAAGCCAAGCAGTTCTTTGCCTGATGGTAGTGTGGTTGGCGATGGTATCTCAAATCGCGAAGTTGAAGCGGATGTTGTTAATGACCCTTTGCATAGGTTGCAAGAAGTTGATGGCAATTCAAACGATAGACTGCATGGTGTTAGTACATCTGACCGAAGGCTATCTTCTAAGTTGAACTGCGATTCTGCCAAATTAAGGAATGATGAATTACTTCAGGCTTCAGGCTCTTCAAGTAATTTGATTTCTGTAAGTGCAAGTGAGATGAAGGCCGAGAAGAATGATGAAACCAACACATCAGCTGATGTGAAACTTGAAAAACCTCAAAGCGACCTGGATCCTATGGTATCTGAATCTCGAAGTGTAGGTGGCTCATGTTCAGCGACCAACCTTGAGGGCGAGCACATGGAGGAGAATTTGGAATCTAAATTTAATAAGGAGAAAAATGGAGGACAAACACATCATTGGCAATCTATTCTCACTCCTGTTCGAGAAACTGAGCAGCCTCTTCCATCCAAGAGGTCCAAATTAGCTGATGCTGAAGCAGAAGAAGCAGAGGAGTCTACATCCACTGCTGCAGATGCTGGTTCCATGTCTGCTTCAGGAGCGCCAGATATGGATGCTAAGTTGGAATTTGATTTGAATGAAGGCTTTAATGTAGATGATGGAAAATGCAGTGAGCCAAGCAGCATTCCTGCTTCAATTACAACTGTTCAGTTAATTAGTCCGTTACCTTTTCCTGTATCTATATCTAATGTGGCAAGCAACATTCCTGCTTCAATTACAGTTGCAGCTGCAGCAAAAAGACCCTTTGTACCACCTGACGATCTATTGAGGAGTAAAGGGGAACTTGGCTGGAAAGGATCAGCCGCCACAAGTGCTTTTCGACCTGCTGAACCTAGAAAAATTCTAGAAATGCCACTAGGTGTTCCAACTGCTTCACTTCCTGATGCTGCAGCCAGTAAAATTTCACGACCCCCATTGGATATTGACTTGAATGTTCCTGATGAAAGGACTCTTGAGGATATGAATCCCCAGATATTTTCTGAGGAGGTGGCTTCTAAGTCTGGCCTGGTTAATAATCGTGATCTAGCACGTGATATAGGTTCCACACATGGGCGTTGTTCTGGTGGGCTAGATCTTGACTTAAACCGAGTTGATGATGCTCCTGATCCAAGCAGCTTCTCCTTGAACAACTGTCGTAGAATAGAAACTCCTCTTAGTGTTAAATCATCAACTGTTCGTCTCAATGACAAGGTGAATTTTCACAGGGACTTTGATTTGAATGGGCCTATTGCTGATGAGAGCACTACTGAACCGTCAATATTTCCTCAGCATGCTAGAAGCCATATGCCATCCCAGCCAACTGTTTCTGGCCTTTGGATGAACAATGCAGAAATAGGAAATTTTCCATCCTGGTTTCCTCCAGGAAATGCTTATTCAGCTGTTGCAATTCCATCAATTATGCCTGATAGAGCAGAACAGGCTTTTCCAGTTGCAACAAATGGACCGCCCAGGATTTTGGGACCCACAAGTGGTACCAGTCCATATAGCACCGATGTCTTTAGAGGCCAAGTATTATCATCTTCTCCTGCAGTGCCGTTTCCTTCAACTTTTCAATATCCTGTCCTTTCTTTTGGAAACAGCTTTCCTCTACCCTCGGCCACATTTTCAGGCAACGCAACAACATATGTTGATTCGTCATCTGGTGGCAGGCTTTGCTTCCCTGCAGTCGCTTCACAGTTCTTAGCTCCTCCCGGTGCAGTTTCAACGCATTATCCAAGACCTTTTGTTGTCAGTCACTTGGATGGCAGCAACAATACTAGTTCTGATAGTAGTAGAAAGTGGGGGAGACAAGGTTTAGATCTAAATGCTGGCCCTATTGTTCCAGACGTTGAAGGAAGAGAGGAATCATCGTCCTTGGTACCAAGGCAACTATCTGTTGCCAGTTCGCAAGCCACCACCGAGGAGCATATGAGGATTTACCAGCCAGCAATTGGCATGATGAAGAGAAAAGAGCCAGAGGGAGGGTGGGATGGGTACAAACAGTCATCATGGTAGCAGAAAGATCCTGTTGAATCCTCAAAGCTGGTGAGTTTGTTTAGATCTTTCTAGTTTTGACCGCGGGGAAAGATGTTGTAAGGGTGGGATGGGGGTACATGGTGTTGGATGGCGCTTTAATATGAATATATGTAATGTATATTCCATGATTTATATTCTAATGTTGAAAGTGTTAATTATCTGTTTTTCAGTGCTTTGAGGATTGGCATTGAGCTGACTTCCACTGCTGGTTGTCATCTTTGTGTGCTTTTTGGAGGAGGTGGTGAGTAGTATCTCATGTTCTTCATGGTCTCCAACCCCACACCTTTTCTCTGTATCAGTTGTGACTAAAAAAAGAATGTCTGGGGCCTTCAAGCTTCTTGTCACTTGAATTTGTTCTGGGTGGCTGCAGATAATTTCATCTTTGTAGATATTTAACTGTTGGAAAAGCATGCTCTATCTGATAATTGGTGCCGATAAAGGTGTTCAGTGCATCAATTTAATATACTGTTGAACTCAAAATCTTTCCCATCCTTTTTGCAGCTATTTCACCAATATGAACCGGTGAATTGCCTTGATCATATTTATAATTTCATTTTTTTTTCCCTGAAGCCAGAGAGTTCTACCCTCGTTTTGTTTTGTTTTTTTTTCTTTTTAATTTTGTGTTGCAAATAATCAATGGCCAGGTTATGAAACAGTGTTGTATGTTAAATGTATCATGGGCAGGTTATGAGCAGCAGCAGCGGCGGCGGCGGTAGGTTTATAAGGCAGTTCCTATTAGAGTTATTATTGTACAATATACCACCGAATGGAGGAAGAGAAAGCAGAGTTCACACGCCACATCCTTCCCCCTAAAAATAATTGTATACAACGAAGCGACTAAAAGAACCTTAAAAAAGTGGATACAAATCAGACTTAAAAACAGCTACTGATATTATGAAACATTGGTGGCTTCCAACATATTTTCCTAGCTTCAAACAACCCTCTGTTGTTTTGTTGTAAAGTAAAGCTGCTGCTCTCAACTTTGCCTCATAAGGTTTCTTCCACAAATTACATTTCTGCATTCATTCCAAAACAAAGCATAAGCAGAGACAGATCAATGATTGTTTTGAAGTTTATTCTACTTGCAAAGCAGCCTCCCCTATGAAGGTGTACTACGAAGTGAACGACTCTATAACTCGAAACAACTGAATAACCCAATCCCAATCTCGATTCCGAGTTGGGACTTAAATTTTGATAAATTAGAGAGGATGATGAGAGAACTAACAGCAGGCATCCACGGTGTGGCTTCCTCTTTTCTTTTTGTTTCTGTGGTGGCTTGATTACAACCTTTATTGCTGCATCAAAAACTGCTTTCACATTCTGCAATGGCCACTCAACACTCACAATCAAACCGCACAAAGATGAACACTACTTTTGCTGCTACTAAATTACATGAATTATTTTTCTAAGGTGGTCAGTGATCAGATCTACTAAAATAGCTCAAGATTTTGGTGCGCATGAGATAAGAAAATTTTTTATAGCCCGAGTACCTGCTGGGTTTTTGAGCTGCATTCGATATAATACATTGCACCGATCTGTTTACGGAGTTCCTCACCCTGATTAGATCGAACCATCAACACCAAGAGTTAAAATTCATCATAATCACGAGGCAAACACAAGCAGCGTCGTTTCCTACTTTTCCTTCCTAAGCATGTTACAACGAAAAAATCACCTGCGAAGTGGTTACAGGCACCAATCCAGGATGATCAGCCAAATAGAATTTGTCCTCTCGAAGATCTAAGCAACGAAAATGAGCACAAGTCAACCAAGAATTGTTGTTCTGAGAGTGAGAACCAACGCAAATGACAGAAAATACAGTAAAGGAACACAACAAATCATTTAGCTTGAAGAATCAGAGCATTCCAACAGTGAGAGGATTAGGACAAAATTTTGTGATGCAAGTGCACATAACAGCTGAAAAGTAGACATTTGCATCAAATATGACAGGAAGTTCGCTTCGAGAGTTCCCTTTACTGAGTAGGGTTGCTGGTGCTTGCCAAAAGAGAAGACACATCGTTCAGACAATGATCTAGGGAGTTGAGCAACCTGGTCAAGCTGACTACTTGGAATTCTTTTAGAATGGGTCTGGTCTCAAAAGGTATTAAACAATCACTTAAAACGGGCCCACATCTCAATTCTCAACAATAATTAAATGCTAAACTCTTTGCATTTTTGCTCACAGTGGCAAGGAAAACAGTCTCTTGGAAGAACCTGAGTAGCTCTTCTTTCCTTATGGCCATGCTGTGCAGCACCTACTACTAGTAATATTATTTTGCCTCCTGCAAACTTCTAACTCATTTGCAAGTACACATGTGAGACCCCACATCGACAGGAGAGGAGAACGAAGCATTCTTTATAAGTGTGTGAAAACCTCTCCCTAACAGATACGTTTAAAAACCTTGAAGGGAAGCTCGAAAGGAAAAGCCTAAAGAGGACAATATCTGCTAGCATTGGGATTGGACTATTACAAATAGTATCAGAGCCAGACACTGAGTGATGTGTCAGCGAGGAAATTGAGCCTCGAAGGGGGGTGGACATGAGGCAGTGTGCTAGCAAGGACGTTGGGCCCCGAAGGGGGTGAATTGGGGGGTCCCACGTCGATTAAAGAAGGGAACGAGTGCCAACGAGGACGCTTGACCCCTGAGGGAGGTGGATTGTGAGATCCCACATCGGTTGGGAGGAGAACAAAACATTCTTTATAAGAATGCAGAAACTTCTCCTAGCAGACACGTTTTAGAAACCTTGAACAGAAGCTCGAAAGGGAAAGCTCAAAGAGGACAATATCTGCCAGTGGTGGACTTGGGTTGTTACAACATAGGCTAGTCCTCTCAACAATTTAAACATTGCAAGCACCACATCTTTATAAATCTCTTAGTATCAACCCTATCCCACGAGTGGTAGACATTCACACATCCTAAACTAGATCCGGAAAAAAACAGCATTCCACTCGGGGGCGTGAACCGGAACTCTAGTCTGAGCTCACATCCAAACCCCACAAGGCCCGCAAGTACTCTAAACAAAAGGGTTTGTTGTCAAGGACTTTCTTGTTTGCAAGCATTCCTACTTTAGGTAGCCTCTTCTCACCTCCTACCTTATTTTCAACAAATTCAAATGAAAAGGAAAAAAGAATAAAGAGATAACGTTTTCTTTGGTTATGTACCTCATTTAGTGGATAAAGAAAGGAAGAAAAAAGAAGAAAGTTTGAAACAAATACAACCAATAGCTACCTACAGTCAACTACAATCAGAAAAGGATGGCCTACCCAGTTTGGTGCCAACCAATACCACCGGGACTCCAGGTGCATAATGTTGAAGCTCTGGAATCCACTGATCAAGAACCAAACCATCAGAAATTCCTAGTTGCAAACATGAAGATGATAGAGCATAGTAGAAAAAAAGCTTGTGTTTATCACCTTCTTAAGCACGTTTTCGTAACTCGCTCGACTAACTAACGAAAAGGCAAGGATGAAAACATCAGCTCCTCTGTAGCTCAATGGCCTTAACCTATTGTAATCTTCTTGACCTATATGCATTATTATAACCAAAACCAAGTTGAATATTCTAAAATTTCTATGAACAGATGATACAACAACTTGAATGCTTGGTTTAAGGCAATGAAGGAGTTATAGTACCGGCTGTATCCCAGAGGCCTAAATTGACAGTGGTGCCATCAGCCACCACATTTGCACTGAAGTTATCAAACACTGTGGGAATGTAATCCTGATAAACACAACTGATTATGCTTTCTGTTTGAAAAACACAGGCAATTATGATCATAGCAAGCAAGAACAACTGTGAATTAAACGACAATCTGAAGACAAGAACCATACATAGACAAGAAATTAAAAGAAACCCCAAGAAAAAACCCAAAATCATGAGAAATACGGAAAAAAAACACAAGAATTAGCAACAGAGAAGATGAAACTACAGAACAAAAACGACCCAGAAATGGGGAGAAACTTAGAAAACGTAAGATTAAGGCACACCCAGATGAATCTTTTGATGAAAAGAAGAACATACAGTGGGGAATTTGTTACTGGTATAGCATATAAGCATGCAGGTCTTCCCCACAGCCCCATCTCCGACCGTAACGCACTTGATGAACCTTGAAGCAGTGGAAGCCATTGTAAAAACCAAAACCCAGATGGCGAAGAAGAACCTCTCAGTCTCTAAAACCGTTCAGAAATGGAAATTGCTACACAAAAAACAAACTAAAAGGGGCGTTTACAGAGTCGTCTATTAGAGAGAAAAGAGAGAGAAAATAGGAGGGTTGAGAGGGAAAGAGTGGTAAATCACATGATTCTCACTAATTTCACTCATTCCTGCCCGCTCTCCCTTTTTTTTTTCTTTTTTTCCTTTTTTGGGGTTGGATTTGATTACGAGTTTATATCGTAATTCACATCAGATAGTATCAGTTTTCATTATTGAATGCCTTTTTTGTTTCAGAAAAAAAGAAAAAAAAAATAATCTTTTGGGTGTATTGCCATGAATCATTTCAATCAACAAGCAATACCCTTTTGGTGTTTATTACCCAATCAAAATTCTCCGGTAACAAATCAACGAACAAACGAACAAAATCAAAGAAAACCCATTATAGAGATAGATCTTGAACTGTCAGATTTGTTTTTATTTTATGTAAAATCTTTGTTGTTTGATCTTAATGATGAGCTAGTGTGCAATGTTTTGTAAATCGTAAAATACATTAATATTCAAAACGGGCTAGAAAAGGAAAAGAGATAAAGAACTGGATTAGTGGAAAAGTCAAGGACCACCCCCATAAATTTTCAAATTTTCTAAAAGGATTTTACTTTTTTTTTTTTTTTTTCCTTTCCCTTTTCCTCTTTTTCATGTAGAAGATAAGCAAGGGCAGTGTGGTCCAAGTCAGCTCTAAAGGTATGATATTTATTAATTCAATTTTTTTTTTCATTCCCTTGAGATCATAGGTCGATCTCAGGGTAGAACAAATTATTACTTATAAAATGCCAACAAAAGGGGCTGGCCCACAAAAAGTAGATTGAGAGATCCTACATTGAGTCTACCAGAGAATAGATTGTGAGATCACACGTAAATTAGATCGGAGAGGAAAGAAGGATATAAGCTATGTAAGCTATTTTGTATTATGAGTAATAAAAATTTGAAGGCTAAAAAGGGAAGTCTACAAAAAAAAAAAAAAAAAAAAAAAAAA